AGGAACGTCCTCGTAGAAAATGAAGGACGTCCCTGAGACGTCCCTGGGACGTACTCGTGTTGTTAGGGTGTGGCCTACCAGCAGGAGAGAAAACGAACATAATTTATCAAAGAGTAGCGAGAGCAAAATTAAGTATATAGAAGGCAAAATCTCACTCAATTGAGCGAGCTGTGGCAACGCTAGTTGATGTGCCTGATGTAATTTATTTCTTGCAGACACGTACTAACAGCATGTTCATTAGGTCTTTCCCCAGCAAATGATGTAACAATAGTAACTTGAATCTCTGCTAGCGTCCACACTCTACAGACAGGTTACTATGGGGCGCCGTTTGGTTCATAATTATTTTTTCGATATATAGAAAATTTTAACGCGATATATAGAAAAAATCCTATATAATATTCGAAATTATCAATATTATATGCAAAATTTCTTATATCGTGTGAAAAATGTTCTATATATTTAAGTGCGACGAAATTTCGATATATATTTGTATGCCTCGCGCCGTTTGGTTCATAATTATTATTTGTATTTAAAAAATTTTTACTGTATTTATATAGTAAAATGTCTATATCAAATGCACAGATTTTATATATGACGAAATCTTTATATATTTGCGTGTCAGGAAAGTCTATATTTGCGCGTCGCGAATGTTTATATTTGGTTGTACCAGTGTGTGCAGAAATAGACTTTCGGGTTCCAGGGTTTACCGATAGGTGGCTGAACGCGGCTGGACGTCAGCACAGAATGAGGTTAGAGGATATCTGGCAACACTGAGGTTCTAAGAAATTCATTGCTATTATATATAATGTAGCTTTAGAAACACCAAGTAATCCTGATATTTTCTGGTCCAACTCAGACCTGATGTTCTTAAAATCCTTAATTATTGTTCCTTTGAAATATCCATACTTCGGGGGACCAACTCTGTTACTGCTAGTTGATGAAGTGAAATATACATATAGGTTTGGTCCTGCGAATCAACAGTGTTGAGAACATACTCAATTTGACCATACATATCAAACAGTATATTGTAAACTGATGATAATGACTGTTTCAACCTTTCACAGGCCAGTATATTATTATCAATGAATATGTTCAACAACCTATAGTTGTCCTCAATTTTCCACTGAGCTTGAGATAAGGCTCTTGAAGAATCTCCTTGAGAAAGTAGATTCACCACATTATCGTGACATTCAACAATTTCATTGAGAAACTTCTCCACTGAAACCGTTGGGAATGACATTTTTACTCGAAAAAAAAAAAATTGTGAGGTTAAAGATTATATAAAATAGAAAAATGTATTCTCATTCTTCTCCATTTCTTCTCCATTCTAGGCAGATGCGTATTTTGGACACAACCAGAATATGATAATATCAGTGTTGCCAGATCCTCTAACCTCATTCTGTGCTGACGTCCAGCCGCGTTCAGCCACCTATCGGTAAACCCTGGAACCCGAAAGTCTTTTTCTGCACACACTGGTACAACCAAATATAAACTTTCGCGACGCGCAAATATAGACCTTCCTGACACGCAAATATACAGGGTGTTTCCTAACTACGGTTCCTTAGTACAGGAGGTGATTTGTTAGGTCATTTCAAGAAGAAAATTTCCTATGAACATATGTCCGGAGTTGCTTCGTTTCTGAGATACAGAGCGTTGAAATTGAAGAAAACAAACGATAATTATGAAATATCATGAATATTCTGGAACCGATTTGGTTGAAATTTGGTACTTTTATTAGTCAAATTTTCTAAAATTTCAGCATATCAAATGTCAATTGAATTTTTGGCGGAAATAATGAAAAACTCATTTCTCCAATGCAGGTGTTCATGATATACAGTGGTTTTGATTTTTTTCTCGAAAACGAAGCTGGATATGAAGAAAATGCAAGAGACCAAAAAGTTGAATTTTGAGTTGTTCAATATGAACAAAATGAAAATTTACCAAAAGAAGTCAGTGGCGTACTTCTTTTCACAATATTGTTGGCTGTGGTGCCCACTGAGACGCCACTGGCCCCAATAATTTCAATCTAAATAAAGCTAAATAAGCGCCTTATTAGTTTAAATAAAAGTACCAAATGTCAACCAGATCGGTTCTAGGATATTCATGATATTTTATAATTACCGGTGTTTTTTCTTTAATTTCAATGCCCTGTATCTCAGAAACGAAGCAACTCCGGACATATGTTAATAAGAACTTTTCTTCCTGAAATGACCTGACGAATCACCACCTGCAGTTAGGAACCGTAGTTAGGAAACACCCTGTATAAAGATTTCGTCATATATAAAATTTGTGCATTTGATATAGACTTTTTTCTATACAGGGTGGGCCACCAGTAACGCCTCGGTCTCTAGAAGGCTAACCACTTATCTTCTTGGAATTCTTCCCCTCTAGGAAGTTGCATGTCAACATAGGCTCTACCATTTGAAATTATTTTGAAACATACAGGATGTCCCCAAAAATCACAAAACACTGAAGTTGAACTCTTTTCAATCGAACACCCTATATATTATTTTATTTTGAGATTCTCCCTGGTGAGCTGATGTCAACAATCCATCATACTTGGGGTCTAGCAGTTATAATTAGTGAGATATAGGGTGTGAGAAATCGAGATTTTCCAAGTTCAAGAATTTTTTGTGTCTAAAACCATTCATAATTGGTCAAAACGACTCACATGTCCATATCTCATCAACTTTTGATCAACTATCTACTGACATTTAATTGAAACAAATACAGGGTGGTGCAGAATTCAGAATCTTGATCACCTGGTATATGTTCCAATTGAATATCAGTAGATAGTTAATCATAAGTTGAGATAGGGACATGTGAGCCGTTTTGACCAATTATGAATAGTTTCGACATAAAAAATTCTTGAACTTAGAAAATCTCAATTTTTCACACCCTATATTTCAGTAATTATAACTGCTAGACCCCTAGTTTAATGGGTCGTTGAAATCAGTTTATCAGGGAGAATCTCATAATGAAATAATATATAGGGTGTTCGATAGAAAAAAGTTTACCTTCAGTTACGGTTTTTCGGGACACCCTGTATGTTTCGAAATAATTCCAAATGGTAGCCTATATTGACATGCAACTTCCTAGAGAGGAAGAATTCCAAGAAGATAAGTGGTTAGCCTTCTAGAGACCGAGGCGTTACTGGTGGCCCACCCTGTATAAATTCAGTAAAAATTTTATATATTACAAATAATAATTATGAACCAAACGGCGCGAGGCATACTAATATAAATATTGAAATTTTGTCGCACTTGAATATATTATAAGACATTTTTCACACGATATAAGAAATTTTGCATATAATATTGATATGTTCGTTATATAGGATTTTTTCTATATTTTGAGTTAAAATGTCTATATATCAAAAAAAAAATGATTATGAATCAAACGGCGCCTCATGGGTTACTAGCACAGAATACCCAATCAGGTTTGTTAATCTCCAACGTCCAAAGTTAAGTGAAAATTCGATATTTTTTCAATATATCTATATATATATATATATATATATTTCTTTCCTTCAAACATTTTCTCAAACAAATTCACTGACAAGCTACTGAATTTTTCTTCTAGACTCCCTGATAGAAAAATTTGTTGAACTCAGTGACATTCTGGGGCAAACCATCTGATTTGTCCCACTACAAATATATTGAAATAATACAAATATTTTTATGTTATATAGAAACGAGGAGAGAAAATCCCAAAGAATCAAGTAAAATGTTATTTTGTCTCTGAATCGTAAATACTGATAACACACAAAACTGACACTTTGAATACTGATATGAGGATTTGGAGGTTGAGGCCATAAAATGAAATAAGATGAGGATATATATATATATATATATATATAGGTATTCATAAAATACAATATCATTTAGAAAAACCTACATAACGTATTTCAGCATTTGAGTTCACAATGTTCACATCATGAAAGAAACTGAAAAAATTCATTCTTAAATTGATTACTAATTAAAAGACTAGTGAAAATGGCACATAGGTTGATATATATTGTTAGTATATTTGTGGTATCGTAATGGCAACCCATAATCAGTCACATAGTATAATGCACATGGACAATGTATTCCGTTTGAAAATCCAAAATTGCAATTGGAAGATATATTTTCGCCCTATACGGGCAGAACTTTCGAATATGATGATTCCACAAAAGTTCCCCGTCTCCTTGCAAAAATAATATCAACGTATCCAACTTTGAGCTCTTATTTTATTTTGTAACAACGAAGATAACTTGTGAATGTGAAGTTCTATATACCTCATCATACCTATATATCTCCGAAAACGGTAGAAATAATACACACAGAATAGTACATAACATATGTATATTTGAAAAATAAAAACACCTGCCCTGTATTTTTCATTTGCCTCTTTCCAGTGCTCTTTGAGTGAAAACATTCCGAGCGATGACAATGAAAATATTGTATCTCTAATCTGGACGATCTTTTCGTTCCGGAATTGTTGACGAAATGAGTCACATCTTATTTCAGTTCTATGTCGTTTTTCCATTCGATAAATTCTTCATAAGATGGCATTTCGAAATTTTCCTCAACCAACGTCAAAAGTCATGCGAATTATCTAAATGATTCTCGAATTGATCACTCAAAATGTTTTCACTGCACAATGGACAATCAGATGATGATTTCACCGCACTATTCGCTATTAGAGTTTCTTTCTCGGAAAATTCGATTTCTGACTATATGATTGATAGAAATCTTCCTCAGTGGAGTGACCGTGATAAAATCAAATACATATGATATAACCAGAATACCACAATATGCGTAGGCATTTGATGAAAAACCAAAAATGTCTTGGGGAAATTGTAACCTCTATTCCCTCCTCAGTTTTACTTAGGATCACAACCCAATTATCGAAATGAGTAATAATCTGAAATATTGCATAAACATTATAGAGATTTTTTTTGTGCGCTCCAAGAGGTGAAAAAAAATCATAGCTGGGTATCTGAATTCTCTAACTAGCTGTACCTCAGTATATTGATCTTTCAGGAGTTTAAGGTTAATTATAAATGATTGAACATCTTAACAAGTTCATAACAGTAATTTATTCCAATGAGAGAATTGATAATGTCGAAGATGATGACTGCGCTCTTGATGACAAATATATTAGAATACTATACACAACAGCTCACTCCGAGAAGCATTCATGAACTTCAGATACCCACTTCAGTATAAATTCCTCGGCATATTCAAATCTTCATAATTCGCTTCTGGATTTCGAATATTCACTTTTCAGATCATAAGTTCGAAGTGTCACTGAGGATGGTCTACTCTTGATCCATTTTTCAATAGCGGGCTCCTTTAATACATTATTTTTCACTTCTTTGAGGTTTGGGTAGGTGTTTAGTATGTCTATGTTCAATATATTTCTCAGAGATTCATAGGCACACAAAAAATCGATGTCCACCCATGTCAACTGAAATAAATAATATGCATTTCAGAAACGACTATTTCATAATATTCTGTGAATCATCTTTTTCAGTGGAATGATTTTATTCCTGCAAGTATTCTGGATTGAGGCACTGAAGTGCGGACAATACTCATCGTTTGATAAAAATCGATCAGATCTATGGTGTGCACTTACTCGTTTGATGGCAATGTAACCACCATTGTCTTTAGCCCGTTGGTCAAATCCCTCCATAACATAGGGAACCATTCCTTTGAGGATTTCCTCCAGTGCCTTTCGTATCTCCTCACTTGTCTCAAAGCCATATGAGAACATTTCTATAAAATAAAAATAAATATAAGTACTTATTTGAAACATAACAGCTGAAACTCCAAGCTCATACTTTGTTTTAGATCTTCTAATGTATCGATCAGAAAGTCTACTTGGAGATTTTCCATAGCATCATTTCCATGTAATTTGGCCAGTGTTGCAACATATCTGGAAATAGCTACGTATTGGGGGATTAACACTCCATCTACTTCCAGAACTGGTAAACGCCCAAGGGGCATCACTGAAACAATGATTCGTAATGCTTTAGTATAGTGTGATTACATCCTGTAAATAGAAAAATAGGGCGCAAACTGCTTGAATAAATATGTAATATTGAAGAATGCAGACATGAATAACTTTCTGGAAAGGTGGGACTGGAGCAGTAATGGTGAACCGGGTGAAAATCCCAAATTGCAGCGCAGCTATCGATATCTCTACTTAGTATAGGGTGTTGGATAGGGCCCTCCTCATTATGATTGACACTCTTGCCGAAGACCTGAGTGTGATCGCTCCTGAACAATTCGGGTTTCGAGAGGGACATAGCACTACATCCCAATAAGTGGCCCGAATAAGGAATACGCATGATTTTTTGTATAATCGAAATTATATTCCTTCTTCCTTATAATAACACTGGATATCATTCATCAACAACAAATTTGCCTGTGACTCTAACAAATTTCATTTAAATGAGGCTAAATATGAAGTCACAGGAAAACGGGTTAGTGGCCATCACTAATATTATGACGTCATAGTATTAGGCCGCACAGCCATAGACTAGCGCGACAAAATGACAAGATTCAGATTGAAAAAAAAAGGAAAAAGAAGAAGAGGTAGGAGAAGAAAACAGTTTTAAACTCCAGAAATTTGAAATTTGAAAATGGAAAATTATAATGTTTATACCAAATACTGCCTAGTGCCTTTCATCAACAAAAGTATCGTCAGGAAAAATATTCCTTTCATTGCCAGTGGGATCGAGTGATAAAAATAAAGAGAAAAGAAAATTATGATTGTCATGAGTAGAAATGATTTATCCGAGAAAACCAGAGGATTTGTTTGTGAAGACCATTTCGAAGTGAGTATACGTTCAAGTATGTCCTAGTGAAACCCATTATATATCAATGATTATGTTCCTCATGTTATTAGGAGAATAATATAATATGTGATTTCGTTTTCAGCTTGAAGAAGATACATATGGAAAACTATATGAGATATAAATTGATTGGTGGTATTATATATTTGAAACAACATGCAAAAAAGAGTCCTGTTTGATATCCTTCTTATTGTAGATATTTGCTCATTATTCAGTTATTATTATTCAGAATAGAGATAGATTATAGAAACTACAAGCTCAGATAATCATAACCTCACTTTCTCTTCTTATATTATTTTGAATCTTTCGGACATGAACATGCAGTGATGGTATTCTTCTTCTATATTTTTCCATAAATGTTTGACATGACAAACAAAAACAGCCACATCCAGTCGGAAATCATCGCTGCAGTTCGGCTGTTGGTCGGAAAGTTGCGAATATTATGATTTTCAATCAGAAATTATTAAATATTCGGTGCTTAATAATGTTTTTCGGATGTATAATTCGACATCTATACATATGAGTAATGGAACAAAAATATATTCCAGTGTAAAATTTTCACACGCGTATACCCTATTGTTCACGGGATCGAAGAAGCCTTCGATCAGGATAAAAACACAGTTATGGTGATGATGGATGTTGGAAAAGCCTTCGTATAGCCACAGTATAGCACGATGGTTCGATATGCAAATTGGTGAAGGCAGGGTTGTCGATGTTTATTGTTAAGGTTATAGACTCAAATTTAGCCTATAGAAAAATCAGAGTCGAAATTAGCAGCACCATATTGACTAGTCTTCCACTTGGGGCAGGGGTTCCACAGGGGTCGAGTCTGTCACCCTCTTTATATAAAAATGATTTTCCTGTGTCTGATCGGACGAGCACGGCACTGTACGCCGACCATACTGCCATATATGCACACTCGTTCAGCTCAGACGTCGCCAAGACAATGATCCAGACTCATCTGGACAGAAAAGTCATATCGTATTCTGACAATGCAGAGATCCGTAAAACCATGATGAAACCGAACTAGTTAATTTCTCACGCAAATATGCGGAAGGTAACATACCCGGACCTTTGCTTGTCAAATACGCAAGGGTGGCGGCCAAAACCTCAGTGAAATAACAGGGAGTAGTGTTAGGCAAGCGTATGTGCTTCAAAGAAAATATCACGAATCGAGAGGTCAGGGAACGCTAAGGCAACTTACCCATTGTTCTTCAGGAATTCCGAGCTGACAATGAATAATGAGCTGCTACTACACAAACAAAACATCAGACCAGTATTCACATCATATACGTATTAATAATCAATACGGATAATCTCTATCTGTTTCCATAGCGAAACATGAAGCCGATTTTTGAAGACAAATGACTATCCATAAGGAAAAGTGAGATACGATCAGACACATACTGCTTTGATTGAAAGGCTAGTAAACGTCATTGTCCACCGAAACGCATGTCTATAATAGCGCATGGCGCATGCGTATCATGCCACCAAATCCTTATGGATTTTCATTTGTTTCATATTTTTGGCTTCATCCTGGCACCCGTTATGATCCGTATTGTTTATTAATACATATATGATTCACATACGCTTGTCCTGTGTACTGTAGTGCCTCCACCACTCAACTGAGTAGGTTACAGGTGCTACAGAACAAGGTACTCTCCGTAACATCACCAACGGTAATCGATACACTCGGAGAGCTGACACCCATGCACAGTGCCATGATCTGTCCCTGATCAAGCAATACATCATGAACATTTTGAATGAATTTTACAAGCACCACATCAGAAACAGTGAAATCACACGATATATTACGGCAATCAGGGCAGACCATGGCATCCACAGACAATATGGGCTAATACAGGTTGAGTCATGACTAACCAGCCATAGCCCAATGGCGGAAAGAGGAGGTCAAGGTGAGTTGATATATATATAATAAAATATTTCTTGCCTATTCTTTACAGGAATACAGGGCATTATTTGAATTCGGGGCAAAACTCCAATGAACGATATTTCAGGAACGTCTCGATGTTATCTGCTGAAATTCACTAGCAACTTACCTCTAATGACACTCCACAAGATGACGTACTATGAATGAAAAATTCCAGATCCAGACTTGGAAAATTAATTTTCTCTTTAGATGTCAAAATTTTGACCTTCTGGATCGGATTTTTCGAAAACTTTTATCAGAATCAGAAAGATCAGGAAAAATACTACAAGTATGGCTTTTCAATTCGTACGGCACACTTCGATCGTTTTGGTGAAACAATATCAAACAAAATACCGATGAATTCTTCTTCGATTTCGTCCGGGCATATCACTCTCTACATTCGACTAAAAGTAATTAAATCAAATTTTTTCCTGTAAAGATTCAACAGCACACTTGAGAAAAGGTATAATACAATAAAAAATTCAGAACGGGACTTGATTTTGGAAAATAACAATCATAATTTCCGAAAAAGATTTGTCAGAATCATAATATTAATCAAGATTCTCAAAATGTCCTCCTCCAATTTCTAAACATTTTCTGCATTTCTTCGGGAGACATCTTATGGCTTTTCCAATAATTTGCCTATTATTTCTGATTATATCTGCAGCTGTAACTATCCTCTTCCTCAGTTCGTCTTTGGTGTTGAATTCAGTCTGATAGACCAATTGTTTCATATGCCCACAAAGAAAATAGTCCAAAACTGTGAGATCAGGGGACCTAGGAGGCCAAGAATGAGGGCCGCTACGACCTATCCAGCGGGTTAGGAAAATGGGTGTCCAGGTATTCTCTCACTTATATTGAGAAATGTGGAGGTGCCCCATCCTATTTCTACCTATTCTTTACTTTCAATAGGATGGGGCACCATCCACAAAATTCATCGGTATTTTGTTTGATATTTTTTCACCAAAATGATCGAAGTGTGCCGTACGAATTGAGAAGCCATACTTGTAGTAATTTTCCTGATCTTTCTGATTCTGATGAAAGTTTCCGAAAAATCCGATCCAGAAGGTCAAAATTTCGACATCTAAAGAGAAAATGAGTTTCCCAAGTCCGGATCTGGAATTTTTCATTCATAGTACGTCATCTTGTGGAGTGTCAGTAGAGGTAAGTTGCTAGTGAATTTCAGCCGATAACATCGAGACTTTCCTGAAATATCGTTCATTGAAGTTTTGCCCCGAATTCAAATAATGCCCTGTATTTCTGTAGAGAATAGGCAAAACATACTCTTTTACATATATATCAACTCACCTTGACCTCCGCTATCCGCAATTAGGCTATGGGTTAGTCATGACTCACCCTGTATATGAAGGCAGCGATATCTTCAGGAAACCCCCTGATGATAACTTCCTCCTACCAACCCTCGCAGACTGCAAACGACGACAACACAGGTTGAACGCTGTGAAAATGATCACTTTGGTGATCGTTCGACCGGATCGTAGACTAAACGCTATGGCCTGACTGAACGATCCCGAACTAACTGCAGCACAAGAAATGGAGAATATTGATACTGAGCCTCGCCTATGAAATAACAAATTCAGGTACTTGCCGTTTTCGAAGTCAGTATGTTCAATTTCTAATCAACCTACCTAACCCATCCCCACCAAATATCTCCACACAGAGTCTCTCAATTTGAAATATCAAATGTTGATGTTCTACTTTTATTCTTTCAACAATTATGAAATCGAATAATATTGAAGATCAGCATCTGACGTACACGCTTTCATGCCCTGATGGGCAACCCACACACATTCGATGAATTGTAGGAATGTTCTAGTCCTAGTCGGCTCGCACACGACTAATAACATCAAATTGTTAAATAAAAATCGTCGTCGAGGCCTACATCGATTGCCTCTCAGGGCTCCCTTGGTGAGTGATCATGTGAAGTTGATGTAGTGTGCTACATTATTCTTTAACGGTCACCGTCCGTTTTTAAGATTTTATTCATACACTCTGTATTGCTACATATTGTCCCACGACCGCGAGATCGTGGGTTCGATTACCAGAGCGGGCCAATGCGGCTTAGTGGACCTCTATAACGGAGGTTAACGAGTAACGAGGTATAGCTGGCAGGCCTGCCACTGCAACATTTGGTGGTGAGTACATTACTAGCCTACAAAACACAAACCGAAAAAAACTCTGAACGAGAACTGATTGTCGGTTACCTGAAAAGGGTGTTATTAGCCATCAGTCACATCAATCATTACACATTGAGGCTTGAAGGAAGGTCTCATTAGGAACTTGTTGCTGACGTGCAGACTTCCTATACTCCTAGCAGTACCACTTCTGATGTTGAGAGCAAAATAATTCGAAGCAAGTCTCAAGAATACTCAGTGAATATTATTCCAGGTTGGGTTATGGTATAGGTACCACATGATGTATTTACTTTCAATCCATGGAAAATACTTCGCCATTTCCAGCTCGATAATAATGTTGATGTTAATGTAGTGAAGATTCTTGATGTTCAAAACTTCAGAAATGGTTACCTACAGAATGTGTGAATGAAAACTTCTGTGGATATTTGCCACAAGAAAACTTCAAAACCTAAAATGTTGCTTCCGTATATTTTAATCCGTTCTGCTTAGCTGATGAAATATTCACGAATAACTTACAGTATCCCTAACTTTCAGAATCCTATGTTCTATTTGTCACAGGACATTCTCAAGTCCAAATTTTATAGATAATGTGACAGTCTGCAGTGTTGTGTATTCATGTCATTCATTTATGAATGCTGAAAGTTTCTTGTGAGCATTGCAATATACATTATTCATGAATGAATTCTCATGTAGATTTCAGAAGAAAGATTAAAACAACAGTCATCGATACATACTTGGTCTGAGTTCTGGCCAATCATCTCTGCTTATCCGTACGTCTTCAAATGGTATGTTGCCATAGGTTAACATCATTCTTATAGGCTCTCCTTGACCTGGCATATCAAAATAATGAAGCCTGAGAGATGATTCCGCGATAATCTGGCTTGGGAACTACGAGTAAATAAAGATTATGATTTCAATTCGCATTTCCTTAGAATGCAACAATAAAATTTAGATGCAGAATTGAATACTAACACACAATGCTATTTCAAAAACACACGTGAGTAAGCATCAGTAGTGCAATTAGTGTAAGTTCAACTATATTGCAACCATAGAAATACCAGTCAGTAAGATTATTATATTGATCTGATTTTTTTTATTCAGGGAGAAAACTTCATGAAGATTCATCCAATAATTGTGGAATAAGGGTTTCATAAGCTGACATTATTCTCTTAAGTGTCCACAATTGTGTAAGGATAATCAAATACCAAAGGTTCATGTTATGCAAATAACGATTTCCGAAGTGTTTAACATTCTTGACAGAACCAAAAAATAGTCCGAAACAACTGTCTAAAGTTTAACATCATTTGACGGATGAGTAAAATTTCCTTAATACAGCATTTATACCATACGAGGCGTTCGAAGTCCGCGAAATGAAAACGCGAACGCCGAACGCCACCTGGCAAGGAAAGAAACACTCCAAAACAAGATCCCATTTTAGGTGAAATGGGAGTGGCTGGTTGCCCGACTGGCGTATTTTCAACTAGGGAAAAAGCCAAATACTCAAAGTGGAATGCAATGGTCACAAAGAGAGAGAAACTCAAAGTCATTACCACACTAGTTCATAAAATGAACGAAAATGGTTCGTACGCCAGTCGGGCAACCAGCCACTCCCATTTCTCTTGAAATGGAATCTTGTTTCGGATTGTTTCTTTCCTTGCCAGGTGGCGTTCAGCATTGGCGTTTTCATTTCGCGGACTTCGAACGCCTCGTTCGGTATAGATACTGAGATGTGTAATCGACGGTGCATAGTTGTTAAATTGGCAGAATCCATATTCATCAAATGAATATTAAAAGCTTGCCACGACTAACCCTACTCTCAGGGTTTGGATTCCTCTATACCAATTAACACCGTGACCCTCTGAAGAAACAAGTAGGATTGGATTCGATCAAACAACTCTCTATCAGTACTCACTCTCTATCAGTCTCTCTCTCTCTCATACAATATTCCCGATATATTATATTACCCAGTTTATTAGGTTTAAGAGAAAATGACTGTACGCTATTATTAAGATGTCTGATTTTAGTTCCCTACAATAAAGCTGAAGAACTTCCGTCAAACAGATCAAGGCCTCCACGTCGGCGTTGCACCAGACCAAGATCGTTCCCTATCGTCCTAGACCTAACTTGGCAGAAAGCTTACGACACACAAAGTTCAGGGAAATCCTAATTCGCGTCGCGTCCGAGAGTCTCGCAAGAACTCAGTACTCGTTTAACGTCACTCCAGCCTGTGCAGTGTGTTCATTTACCGAAGTAAACTACTAACGTAGGGTCAGGAGCTGAGACGGCTTTCCAGAGGTATTTATCCCGAAATACCAATGGAAAGCCGTCTCAGCTCCTGACCCTACGTTAGTAGTTTACTTCGGTAAATGAACACACTGCACAGGCTGGAGTGACGTTAAACGAGTACTGAGTTCTTGCGAGACTCTCGGACGCGAATTAGGATTTCCCTGAACTTTGTGTGCCGTAGGCCTTCTGCCAAGTTAGGTCTAGGACGATAGGGAACGATCTTGGTCCGGTGCAACGCCGACGTGGAGGCCTTGATCGGTTTGACGGAAGTTCTTTAGCTTTATTGTAGGGAACTAAAATCAGACATCTTAATAATAGCGTACAGTCATTTTCTCTTAAACCTTATAAACTGGGTAATATAATATATCGGGAATATTGTATGAGAGAGAGAGAGAGACTGATAGAGAGTGAGTACTGATAGAGAGTTGTTTGATCGAATCTAATCCTACTTGTTTCTTCAGAGGGTCACGGTGTTAATTGGTATAGAGGAATCCAAACCCTGAGAGTAGGGTTAGTCGTGGCAAGATTTTGATACTTTTAATATTAATTTGATGAATATGGATTCTGCCAATTTAACAACTATGCACCGTCGATTACAAGATGCGTTCACGTTGGTCAGGTTCGCATCAGACAGCGGTCAAGAAGCTATTTGATTTCGAGAGAATGTAATCCAATGTTCTGGGTGGCATATAGCCAGGTAAGTAGTTGTCTTTCTCACGTTATCTACCATCTTCGTTCATTTTATGAACTAGTGTGGTGATGAATTCGAGTTTCTCTCTCGTTGTGACCATTGCATTCCACTTTGAGTATTTGGCTTTTCCCCTAGTTGAGAATGAGAAGTGTCCGGTTCTGGCTGAAGCTGCCAAATATTCGACAATGCTCTATTCAACCACAGGAATACTCACATTATAACTTTCATCAACGCATTTACTATAGGGTTGTCTTATTCCTTCAGAGCTTGATAGAAAACTTGTTTGGATCCGGATTCATGAAAAGAAAAACATCTGTAGAGAGGGCCTGTCAGGAAATCAAGGTCGACACGAAGAAGGAAACTACGAGGAGGATTTCAAATCGGAATTATTCAAACTACAAGAGCACACACACACGAATTCAGAATGGCACAAGAGAAAGGGGAGGCCGAAACCTGCTCATCTCGAAATGAGTCCACGTCAAGCCAACCAGCAGCAAGATACGGTCAATCGTCTCGATACGACTCCCATCAACGCAACGAAGTCCTACCAGAGCCACAGATACTAGGAGTAGTAGGAATGCCACAACAGGTGAATGGAAAGTATGCTGGTAGATGAATATTTTTTGAATCAAGGTGCGTGAGACAGTGACTCTAGGATAGGCAAACTGAAAACTCAGTGATTCTTGATTGGGAATGGTTTTAAAGGTAATATTTTTAAAAATAATTCATCAGACATATCATCCTTTGGTGAAAATATCCTTTTTTTATCGCTTGGTGCGCACGAAAGGGAATCCCTATAATGTTCAAAGAACATCGTGCGTTCCTAGGGAGGATAAGGACAGGAGGTAGGTGTTGAAATTTTTTTTTGAACTTTTGGAGATTATATGATCAGAATTGCCATATTATGAATCTGAAATAATATCCTTGCTGGAAAACGGAGCTATTTCTTGATGTTCTCATCCAGAAGGAGAATTTATTTTCATCCAAGCAGAACTCGTTCATACTATATTTATTCAGAAGATATATTGATAATAGAAAAAACTCAAGAGCTGTGCCAACAATATCGTTGATGACTTGGAAAATCTGGGTTCCATCAAAAATTGAAAAAAAAATAATAGGTACTACAAAAAGAAATGAACATCTGGATTTGGTTTTCGATAGCAAAAGTAATGAAAACATTATAGTTTTGGTGATCCCTGTAATGAAAATTAATTGGTTGCACATATAAAAGAATTTGAAAATTTCAATATCATATATCTTTGAAAATCAACAAAAATTCCAATGATGAAATGAACATTCCTTCTCCATTGAAATACGAAATAGATTGGTGGTTAACCATTCGATATTTTCTCTAACGCCTCTACTAAGGATAACGGGGCGTTTTGTGAGGGCGAAGAGGCATCAGGTTTCTGGGATGTTCGAGAGTCAGTTCTTCATACAAATAGTGCAGAACTGAAACCAGCTTTATTTGGTCTGAGATGTGTTGCAAGAGATGAAATAAATTGCAATTTATTATTGCGCCTTGATCATATTACAGCAGTTGCATGTACCAATGATGAAAGTAAGATATGGTGCGCGTATTCGGTAATTACTAGTTATTGAAAATTTTAGAAGAATCACTCTACCGTCTACTATGATTCATCTACGTCAAAACAAGCAAGACGTTGATTCTACATTTTCTTACTAGATGGTGACGCTGGTATTGCTGCTGTGACGAGTGGAAATAAAATGGCAGATGGCATTTCAGGTACGCGGAACATATGTAACAGCGGGATTTTTCAACTCTGAATCTGAAGAATCTGCGACAATTTCAAAACTGACAGAGTTTATAATTCAAGGTTGGTAGAACTAATGACTATTTTGTAGAGGAAGGTTGCCTCGATCGCACCCCGCGAGTGACCTTGAGTAACTCATGACGTAATAGGCCCTTTCTTTTGCACGAGAAGTGTAGCACTCTCGTACACTTCGTGTATGATATGTACGCCGGCGATTGGCCGGCGCATGTATTGAGTTGACAGTTGTCAGTATTTTCGAATATTCGAACCATTTTGAACTTGAAAATGTGAAAATGATAATTTGTTCGGTCACTTCTTGTTAAAATTCGTACAAGTGTAAAGAGACTAGTGAATTTAGTTTGTGTTTCCATTATTGATTTCCATAAGATGAGTCTATTCGTGAGAAATATGGATTCAATTTTGTGGGCGTAATTTTAATTCATTTAATACCAAACCTTGGCGAATATGTTCTGCCCATTTCGATGCCGAGGATTTTGAACGGCACAAGCAGAATTGCTAAATCACACACCAAAGAGATGAAAACTCAAGGTAGGAATCCCATCAATAATACCAAATACAACAAGAGAAACACCATAATATTCAAGTTTGGAAAAATGATCAGAACCAGACCAGTTGTGAATATTGAGATTCTTGCTGAACGGGTAAAATGGACATCAGAAGATATCACACGTGTTTTCAAGTTGAGATATTTGAGCAAGAGTACGTTACCCAACGAAGAGGAGCTATGTTTATTTGAGAGATTTCTTGAACCATCCTTCATTATAGGTTCACTTATAATAGTAGTGTTATTTTTCATTAATTTCGTTCAGAATCATATTTTGTTATTTTGTTATGCTCAAATACTTCGATCAATTGCTCTGTTTTTGACTACAATATAATCAAACAATGAAATACTATTTCCTCTTGTATTTTCTATAGGTATCTAAGAAAGTTTGTCAATTTTTCAGAATACAGAGTTATATTTATAAAATAAGTGATCTGTTGCGTGTACGAATATTGGTCCACTGCTACTACTTCTGGATCATCAGTTGATTATTCTTATATTTTCTGTAGTTTCTTGTTCACATTATCTGATTTGCAGGATATTTATAGGATGAGTAGGTTCATAATCAATGCATAAGTAATCACTAGCTCCATAATTATGCTCCATACCTCAAAACACACATACCTGGTACCACGACCTGGTAAAAAGCCCCTGGAACAAAATTTCAGATAGGTATTCCTCTCTGTACTACTGATCCATCCAAAATTGCCTTCTCATTTCGAAGATTGAAGGTATTATACAGAAGTTTATGTAAATAACCATATTTTTTAATGGTACTTACTTATAATTATATACAATAAATTAATATAAATATGCTGAGCAGACCAAAAAGTTTGTATCATGTTTGTATACTCTATTTGGTAAACATTTCATGACATGTCGCTTTCAGGTTGACAACTTGTCGTCTTACTGCCTGTGACGTCACGAGTGACCGTTTCCCCCCTTGCCGCACTATCGATCGAGGCAACCTTCCTATACAAATTATAATCAGTTCTACCAACCTTGTTATAATTGTGCAATGTCGCCATCTATTAGAAGATCAACGGAACCATTGCTCTCGCTGTTCTCGAGAGGTCGGGTGAAGTTTCTGAAACAAAGGCGCATCAGTAATTACACCATATCTTAATTCCATCATTCATGTACCTATACGAAGATGGGGAGTACCAGATCAGAACAAGAAGATGCTATAGCAAGGTTGACATTGGCGGTGGAGCGAACAAAAATATATTTCTTCATTTGGGTTTCTTACATTATGATATAGTTTGATGAGAAATCGAGAAGCAGATGAACTTTCAAGAATGAGATCTACAGATATCAAATTTGAGCTAGTAGTAGTAGTAGGTGGGGGGACTGTAGCCAAGCAAGTAGGCCCCGATGGGCCGTTTATGCTAACCCCTGCTCTCCACATATCTACGCTTTCTTCACCTAGATTTCCTCAACGAAACTCCCTGACGTTCTGATGAAGTCCTCCTTTTGGAGTTTGTCTACTCCAAAGATTTCAAATCTCAGCCTTCCGTACGCCTCGCACTCGCCGAGAAAATGGAGTGACGTGTCCTCGTCTTCCCCGCATCTGCGGCAAGTGGGGTTGTCCTCTATTCCTATGAGTGATAAGTGTCTGCCTAGCCTGTTGTGTCCTGTGAGTACACTCCTATGAGGGGGCGGAGTACTTGGCGGTCTCTCCCAAGCAGACACTCCTTCCTTGATTTGCTTGAATTGGCCATGAATTCCTTGGCCTGCCTGCAACCTGTGATATTTCTCCAGTATTCTCCTAGTGCCTTGTCCACTCATTCATCGGGGTCTGACGTAATTTGGCTCCTTGATATACCTAGTCCAGGCTCCGGTCCCAGAAACGGCCCCGCGGATCCGGCCCTAGCAAGTTCGTCTGCTTTTTCGTTTCAGGACACCCCACTGTGTGGAGCTATGGACGAGTTATTATTCGAAAAAATAGATATTCAGTTTGGAAAACCAAGAATGGACGTTTTTTCATCACGAATAAATACAAAATTCTAACACTATATATCGTATGGTCCAGACCTCAATACTCTCACTTTTAGTTGAAAAAATATTATACGAGACAGAGAGCGGTTGAAATTCTGGTAGTACCAATCTGAGCATGCAAGCATGGTACCCACAAAGGTCTATTTGCAGAAGAGCCTTCGCCTTCATAAATATTGATCTTTTTCCCTTTCAGGAAGGTACATCTACTATATGGGTAGCTTTCCTTGGTAAAATCGAACAATTTTCTTGTTCACTGAATAATTGGTGGTGGATAATATAGGGCAAACCGCGAACAAAATTGAGATCAAAATTTCAGATAGCATCAAAACTTTCCACAAGAAACAGCCAATGTTAATACTTCCTCATTTCCTAAAGAAGGCAGAACTTAATGTGGTATCGACACTATGGATTATTATATTGGAAAGACAAAATCTATCAGGAATTGTAACGCACTGATTCAAACTCAACTAAGCAAAAACCAATCCAATCGATCAGTACTTAAACCATTAGACGTTGGATCAGGCATGATCAGGCAAACCATGGGATAACAGTGGCGTAGATACCGAAATATCCAGAATTGATACCATTGAGAAAGCAGCAGGGTAGTCAAGAATGTCCAAGGCTTATTGTTGCTGGTTCTGTTCATTTCGCTGAATTGTGAATTCCATAGAGCGGAGATAATGCTCGTTTATACTTTGTTCAATTATTCTCATTGATTGGAAAATATTATATTGTGTTGATGATGATAATCATTTATTTTTGCTTCATGATCAATCAATTGAAAGAACAATGAAGAGATTTCAGGGTAACGCGAGCTCTGCACTTTTTTCTCAGTACGCTCTAAATATCTAGCACGACCAACCAAACGAGAACGGATAAATAGAGAATAATTGAAAGATTGGTCGACTCACCTCATTGAAAATAAATCTCAATTATCCAAATATATATATATTCTCCTTTCCTATTCAATCCTACCTGTAAATTATTCCAACAACCCACAAAACGTGCGAGTGAGTCAATCATAGGCGAGGTGAGTCAGGCATGGTCAGGCGATAACAGCACGATAAATAATATGGGTTTTTTGTCATAACTGGCAAAAAACACTGGTGAACTTCGAAAATGAGTAGCAGAGGTACGAATTGATTCAATTTTTCAGCAACCAAAGGAGAACTATGATATCGTGGGCGTACAAGCAGAATCATGTAAGTCCAGCAAATAATATAAGGAGAAAAACGCAATTGAATATTCGAATCAACCTGTGAAATTATAACGAAATTAGACTTAAGTGGATTTTCATTGACTATATCTCCTGAAACAAAGGCAAAATGGACTTGAATGTTCATTTGCCTGGAGCGTTACGCTAATATGGACTTATGTGTGATAAATTCCTCATTTCCGAAAAAAGTGGACTTACATCAGGGTTCTGCTTGTACGCCCACGAATTATGTGAATAATAAAGATTGATCTTCAATGAGGTGAGTCTACCAATCTTACAATTATAGGACATTTCATATTACTTACCCAAATAACCAGCATAATGAAACAAGCAATATCCATAGTCCGAACCATGTTCAAACTTCCTGATATCTTATGGATTGCTCTGAAATAACAACACTTTTAGGATGCTGTTTATAACGGATGATTCATAATGAAATGTAGACAGGGCATTGGTATAGAGTCATTATATCAAAATATAAAGATTGGCTAGAAATTTCACCGAGAAGAATGGCAGAGAATAATTCACATAGTGGTATTCAGGTAACAGAGTCACACCCTCACACAGACACATTTTTCTGCAATATGTCATCTGATGTTAGTTAAATTTCGATTCATAAGCGTAACGATGAACGATTAAAATGTCTACTTGAATAATGTTTCATCAATTACGCGAAATCGGTTGGGGCTATGGAGTTGAAACGACTCTATACCTTGCTCATTCGTTGTCTGCACAGAGGTAGTGTAGTATATAAGCCTTAACATATGAAAGTTGTAGTCGAAATAGCGATATCTTTCAACTGCCGTTATATTGCCATTTGAAACCTCAGAAAACTCTAATTATAGGTGCCAAAATTCCATAATTTTTTATCTCCATGTACCTACGTATTCAGAGCAGAATAATATCAAGGATAATATATTATGTCGTGGTTAGACGGTGTTTTATTTCTGTATTGCAGTAGTAATTCAGAGAGTTGCGAGTTGTTCTCTGAAGACGAGTGTAGCAATAATTGATTAGCTATGAGTCTGTATGTGAGGAATTGTCCATTGCAGTATATTATGAAGGTGACCGACTGAATCATTATTGTTATGACATACAGGGTGTCCCAAGATTGCTGGGACACAAAACTACCGTTTCTCCGTGAGACGAGTTCAGAGTTTACATAAAAACAAATTTTTTCTGCAACTGACACAAAAGTCGTCCATTTAAATAACAAAGTTGAGCATTGTTGTTTCGATCAGGGAAGCCATCAATATTCACATACTTGCTTGATCTGTATTTCTTTCTTGTTTTTGGGATGAATGATTTGTTTTTGGATTATCACGGCCATCAATAGTTTTTTGTCTGAACCAACGATATTGTTCACCTTCATTTGATTATCAAGCCAAACACAGTGGAGTATAGAGTTGCTCACCAACACCTTACACTTCATACGTCTTGTTCCTATACCTGGAACTGGCGTGGTATTTGCCATTAGAGCTCCATTGGTGCACCTGGTCGGTTGTATTTATATAAAAACTACAATTCGAACATCCTTGAAAATTGAATGGACCTGCTGGTAATGCAGGTAGAATATTCTCACCACACGGATTATTTGTTGCATTGCATACATATGGCACGGCATTGGTTGTTACTTCACATATTTATTTTAGTTAGTTGTTTCGGTTGCAGAAAAAGTAGCATGTTTCATTCGGTTCAGAAGTATAACTTCGTTTTACTCGCAAATATTGCTTTTGCTCGGCTTCGCTAAACGCTCCGCCTCGCAAATGCGAAATTCGCTTGTCAAACAAAGTGACACTTTTGATCCTAATAAAACAATCCACTATTTGTGCTCTGTTCAAGCGAGCGTGAAACTATGTAAATCAGATGAAATTTGACAAATGTGCATTCCAGAGAAAAACCCTTTTATCAGTAGGTAATCAAAGAAACCTGAAAGAAATTGTAGGAAGGTTTTAACCACCCTTATCCCCTAATATTTTTTTCAAAAAATTCTTAGAGGTGGTAATAGTGTTCTCAAATTCTGTTACTTCACTTAAAATTTCGTTTCTCGCATGGTTCTGAAAGAAAAAAATTTTCTTGAATAATGCTAACACATATTCCTAGTGAAAGTTGAATAAAATAGTAATACAAAATTATTTGGCAGTGTAAACGAACGAATTTACATTTGTATTAATGAAAGTGAGCGTCATATTGAACATAAATTTGCTCTAATAATTTGAGAAACATATTACCACCCCTAAGCATGTTCTGAAAAAAAAAACCACGGGGTGAGGGTGATTTCAACCCTTCTACAATTCATTTTGGCTCCTTCATGTAATTTTGCACTAGTGCTGTAAAGTAAAGAGAGTCAATTCTCTATTGTTTACTCAAAAAAAAATCCCATTTGATCATAAATATAGCGGATACTTATTACTACTACTCTCGTGATCGAAATTCATGTTGATAAATTATTATATAGGATTGAAATTAACGCGACAAAGTTGACAGTTCGCAGAATGAGTGACAACCAAGAACTCAATACGCGGTAGCCAAGGTCATATCATTTGATGTTGCGATGACATGAAAACTACGGGAAAACATTCCTAACTCATGATGGCTCAGATAGATGATGGAAAATGGCAAATGACATTTTATTATTATTCAACACTGAATTCCGGAAATCTGTGGCAATTCAAAAATTGACTGATGTCATAATTGTGTAATGTCGCCATCTATCCGAAAACCGCTGAAAACATTGTTCTCGGGACTCTCGGGAGGTCGAGAAGAAATTCTGAGACAGAAGCGCCTCAGCAACTACACCATCTACTTATTTCCATCATTCTTAGATTGACAGTTAAACATGTTTTCCCGTAATGTTCATGTCATCGCAACGTCAGATGACGACCTTGGCTACCGCGAATGGATTCACAATACTCCCTCCCAACCCTTGCAGCGCTCGATTGTTAAATATTCCTGGTGAATAATCGTTTATTCGAGAAATTTCAACTATTATCGATTGAATAATAAGCGTTTTTAGTAGTAGGTAATATATTATACGATACTCGTATCGTGAATTCACACGATAATCGACTGAACAAATTTTTCTTCTCATATCGTAATATAAATTTTTTGATATACTTGTATCGTCAATATCTATTACAACACTCTACGTTCTCAAAAAGCCTATTTTCGCATTCGATACAAAATATATCTTCACCAAACTAATAGAAGGGTAAATTCCAATATTGACCAGTTGAGAGAGCCATAGAGAGCTAACGAAGTCTCATTTCAGGAGATGAATATTATGGGAAGCTATGTTCTAGAATCTAGATGTAGGTAGTAGTGGAAAAAATCATTATCACATTATAATTATAGTTACGTAAGGGACCTACCTGATTGAAAAAAACTAATTCACTAGATATTATTTCATTTCGTGATGATTCGTTATCATCAGTTACTTATATCTATTGAAATAAAGCAACCACTTACCTGCTAGGCCGTCGATAGGTGTTTTTCGATATTCTCCTGACATATCAGTTTATCTATATAGAAAACGATAAGAAATCGAAATAGTCGATGAGATAAGAAGTCACATACAATATCAATAACATTTTCATGTCGAGGAAACTTGAGATTATCCAATTTAAGATTAAGGCATACCTAATGATTTGTGAATTAATGCAGTTGGGGTAAAATACATACCAAGACTTGAAGTGTAACATTACTGTCGAGAGATTAGTTAGTTCACTGAGACTGCGCGTTATAGCCCGTCGTTGTCAGTGCGTTTTGCTATGGGACACTCAATATTTTCGACGGCCTATGCCGTCCTTGTATTATTTGCATTTGTTAGGCACCAACAGAATCGTCTGTCGATTCTAGACGTCGAATATTGATGTCACGTCACATTTATAAGCGTTTAAAGAAATCTTATAAAATTTTTAATTTCTACTTTATATGACATTATTCAATTCTGTTTCGGAAGGATTGCAAAATGTGTTTCGTTAGTATGTATCAATCAGTCGAATGGCAAATTTGAATTTGCCAGCTTCCTGACCAAAGCAAATGACTTTGGAACATGGAAAGTGAAGAGATCGAATTGAGCACATCGGTAAATACATTAGCCGAATATTCGAGGTGAAACTAAAACAAATTCACTTCTTTCATGTTCCTAATTATCCACTCCACAAGTTTTTGAATACATTTAGTAGCAACTGATTCGAAAAAAACCGAGATAAAAACGGAGGATTAGAAGCTCTATACCATTCAAAAAAACCATACCTCTATACATTCAGAAAATATGTGTTCTTGAACAACTGCAAAATTATAACATAAATATATACAGCACATATGAAGAGCACATTATATCTGGGATAAAAGCACTCACTTTCTTTCCTGCTCATGAAAACTGACATTTCGTAACCTGTCAACAGAGATGAAATGTCAAACTTTTTCACCGTCACAAAAAAAACGATTTTTTTTCGTTTATAAGTGAACGGTGAACATTCCGATCATTTTCGAGCACTTGTTACAATTGCTACTCAAAATTGTATTACAATGATAGAATGATGATATTGGAATAGTATCTGGTCGAAAGCAAAAATTCATTCAAGAACTATTACAATCATTACAATTCCACATTATTGTTCTGGTCTTCATATTCAGCAAGTAAACATGAATCACTGTCGCTTTATTGATACCAGTGCCAATTCCAGTGGGGTATCACCGCATAGGCGCAGTAAGCGCTCGCTCAGGGCCCCGAAGAAAATGCGGGGGCCTCAAAAGGACAACAGTTCATTAAGAAACTAACCATCAATGAGCACAAAGATATATTATGGCAACGAACTTCAATTCGATGAACTTTTGAAAGTAAATATGGTATTTCCAGCAGGCATTTATAAAAACTTATTATTAACCGCTTACAGTATATATTTCCGAACTTAGAAACAGTTAAAGATTGTTTTGACTATGCCCATATGTATAATTCCTTTGGTAAACGATCTCCTACAGCACTGAAGTAAGTTTCGAAATTTGAGGAATACACTCAATGGCAAAAAAACCAACCTGTAAAAATATTTGGCAAATTGATTTGAATTCTTACACTGCAGAAAATTCCTCTGAGTGAATGCATATGTGGTTGTGAGTGAATCTAATGATTGAAATTCTTGAGTGAATTCTCAACTCAATCTAGATATTTCATCAAGTTTTCCTATCAATGAGAATGTTTATAACAAATTTGATTGATTCGGCTCATGAGTAACCATTTTACACAGTCAAGTAGGGTGGAATTCCAACTCAATTGGTAGTGTATTGTGCGATTCTGGTGAAATGTTGAACAAATCATTGATCAATGTTTCTGAACGTTAACCTGGATTTTAGTTGAAAAAAACTGATGGCTTGATCCTCAGCCTGATCATGATGCATAGAAAAACAAACGTTACTATTTCACCCTCAACTTCCTTCCAGAAGCGTTTTCGTTCGGTATAACCATAAACTCTTCAAAAGCTACGATTTGTCCTTTCTTGTAATCCTTCAAGATTGCCTGAGAAATTTGATCAATTCGATACCACGGCGGTAGAATACTGTAGGCAATTCAAGCATGAGGAGGCCAGTTGCGGATCGAAGTAGCTGATAGGTTCGCGAGACAAATTTAGAAAGTGAGGTGTACACTGAAAAAAAACATGAGTGAATTTTCACTCAAACTTCACTTAATAATGTCTCAATTTCGGTCCACGCCCGATTGAGTTGAAAATTCACTCTACTTGACTTAGTGAAATGGTAATTGAATGAGTGAATATAAGGAATCACAATTGAGTCGATGTTCCCAGTTCAGATTTGAATATTATTTCAGCTTTGCGATTTCTTGAGTGAGTTTCAACTCATTTTTGAGTGCCTAGAACATTTATTGAGTATGTATATGCCCATTATTGAGTGCTTTTATACCCAAAATGAGTATTTTAAAACTTTTCATGACTGGTTTTTTACAATATTGAGTAAATATAATATATAGTACAAATGTTTATTAAAAATCAGAGTATATTACAATTCAATTACAATCACAATGTACTCCTAATAAAGAACAAAGCTAATACAATTTGAAATCATCACTACATGCGGTCTCGCCTTCCGAAATCAAGTATGGCTTCTTCTCGCTGCGCAGAATCTTACTAACAAGCTCGTTGACACGTTGACAGTCACATCAATCTGCAGACAAAAAATGCATATATGAACAGCTGATTCAAAAATGTATTCTTCAGAGCAGATTTGTTCTGGGTATGTTACCTAAATAGAGACAAATTCACCAATAACGTTTCAAACAAATATTTAATCGATCTCAATGAATGATCACAATTGAATTATTCAATCAGTTTTGATAACACTTTCTCAATTAAGATTCAATATACCTAATTTGGAAATAATGTGATCAATGATGATTCAATTAATTCATTTCTGATTTGAAATACTCTTAATTCCAATAATTTTCAGTCACTATCGAGTGAAAAGCAAACACATGAATATGGCCGTGCATGGCTGTGATAGACATCAACGGCGATATGGACTATTCAACAGATTAATAAGTATATTGATTTATCTGAACTTCAAGGTAATCGGATATAGGTAAATCAACACTATATATGCAATACAATTCTTAAGAATCACATCATCCAAATGAATATTTGAATTATTTGATATAATTCACGATCATCAGCCATGTTGTTGAAAGCCATCATGTATTTTACGAAATTAAACTTACCCGCAGTAAGTATTCCCAAACTTCACAGATATAATAATGCGAATAACATGTTTCTGCTCGAACTTCAATTACAATTCACTTCGCTGAAATGGAAAGCACAGGATTGTTTTTATGCACTGAACTTCCATCAAGACTGACGCTGCGTTATCAATTGCACAAAACGGCCTCTGCATTGTCTCGAGCTGGCTCGAATCTTTCTCGCTGATGACCACATCAGAGATTCGGACATTCCTTTACTCCGAAGTTCTTCATTTAGTATAGTTGAAACATATAATATTGTGGTGAACGGTCATCGTGTTATTCCCAAATACATCACTGTTCACTGTTTGCACGTTGAAAAGGGACTGAGACAGTGAGATGACAGAGACGCTAACAATATACAGCGCATGGACCGGCCCTTTCACCAATTATTATTTGGTGAAATCGCTTGATAATGAGTAATTCTCACATGTTTCATCTGATGATTGAGTAAGAGCCACTCTAGTATGGTTTTCTTGTTTGTTTTATTCCAAAATTTGTGCTATTCAATCAAATTTGTCATAAACATTGTCATAATTGGAAGGAATTGTGAAAATACCCAGATTTCATTGAATATTTACTCAAAAAATTCACTCAGTAGATTAACTCATTACCAAATTTGCAGTCACTCAAAAGGATTTCTCACAGTGTATGTACTGCAGGCACTTTTTTTTCCATTCAGATCAAGGTCTCGCGATTTTCCTGATCCTTCAGTATCCGTTCAACTCTCAGGAGACAGAAATATGAATTCACGATTCGGTCAAAATTCCAGAAAAATTTGGCAGGAATTGAAAAAGTTACTCACAGGGCGATCAATTTGGCTTTTTTTCTGGACGTTTTTCCTTGGGTTTTTCTGCCGGTGGGTGTAGTTTGTCACAAATTTATTTGAATGCTCTAGTGATTCTGTTTATCAAATCTAATCCTAGGCAAAAAAAGTTTCATTTTGAACTAGTCATAGACTTGGGCGGTTCCACATATCCATTTTAAGTTACTTGTGATCGGCGTTATCATCCAGATAAAGTGTTTTTCAGTTTGTTCTTTTCATTTCACCCAAAAATGTGTTTCATTTTGGAAGCATAATGATTATTTTCAACTGATGGTCGTAGTTGAAATTGATTGATCGTTCCTCTCATGATACATCCTTCTTGTACCTGGTGATTTTCAAAGTTGAAAATAGAACGTATTCTGAATTATCAGGAAATGGCGCTAGACCTTGATCTAAATCGAAAAAAGCGCCTGCTGTTTTTATAAAACTTAGACATTTTTAAGGAAGTTGCCCCAAATTTGCCTTGCGCCTATGGCTCCCCCATCTACTTCAATCTGCCACAGATTGATACAATTAAGTGAATAACTCGTACACTTTTGTCTCTATAATAATTGTACCTGATGTTCAATCATCTTACAAGAGATATGGTTTGTTGAATCAGTTTGGAGTGATGCTTGGAGGGAAACGTCATTGTTAGGAAGTGATTCAAATACATCAATAATTGATGTGCACAACGATCAAGTTAGAATGGTATGGAATAAATGATAATGTATTCATTGATTTCGAACTGAAGAAATATTTTCCTTCAATAATTGATTATTAATATATTTTTTCGTGCCGTAGAAAAATCTATGATGTTAAGAAATGGAAACTTCCAATTCATCATCAACATTGCACTCTATATGCACAAAGAGAATAGGAAAAATTATAATGCAAGCTATTTTTTCTGAATAATCGTACAATTGAGACGTATTTAGGGTTCTGAAAATGACACTGGACCTCAACTCCGATATTTTAGGTAGGAATTTATAGTTCTCATTGCTTTTCCAGATATATCATATGGAGCTGATCTGCATGCGCCCTCTCTTTACCTAAGTTTAGCCGGTTAAGTAATTTGCAGTCTTTTTTTATCAGTTGACACCTTCTTCTTTGAAAATCGATAACTCTGTTGATTCTCAATGAACCAGGATTATTTCTAAAATGCGGTGAAAAAAGAATTGATTTTTGAAATTCGGAAAAACGTTTGGGTTCCAGAAAAAATGCTAATTGTTCCCTTTTACTAAATGATCAGAAATCTCATTTTGCATCAATTTGTATTCATCTCCAATATGCCTATGTCTGATAGTTTTGAAGTGGTCGAAAAATTTTTTCGATTTTATTTTGTATTTTCCTACTTTGAAGTTGGGAATCAACACCATAGAAGTATAAAATAAATAAATTTTTTGTCCGAATATTGCGATTATAATATCATATTAAAATAACATATAAGGAATTGAAGGTACTTGAATCAAGATTTGATGGATTTATCTTGTATTCATGAAAAATGTGGGAAAATATAATGAATAGAACATGCCATTAATATTCAACGAGAAATCTCCGCACTTGCAATCCTTGTAAGATCGAATTCAAACTTGGCGAATTTCAGAAGAAACAACCATTCTTGAAAGCTTCAAGTGAAGATAATTTTCGTTGAATGAACGGAGATTTTTGTTCACAATTCAACTATATTCTCCATCATAATTAAAAATTCAATTCGTCAGATCTTATATAGTTTGATTGACTTTGATATTGAATATTTTGTAATGATAAATAGTAATCATGGCAAACTATGTAACAAAAATACTTGCTACCTCGAGACTAGTTGTGAATTTTCATCAATATCGAGAAAAAATTTTCATGAGTTGAAAACTATCAATGATTTTGATAGGGAATATATTGACACAAATCAATGTTGAATTGATTTCTTCTTTTTCATGAAACGAAACAATTCGCATTCTGATTGGGAGGGATTTGTGGGTATTTTCTGGAAAAGTTTCAAAAATTTAAAGTTCTTTAATCGTTTTTTTTTCAATCATGAGTTCACAAATTTTTTCTTACCACTCTCACTCTTTTATTCATCCAAAAGTGACGTGAAGCAGTATCTAATGATTAATCATAAAAAAAATTCAGTCTATACATTTCTTAAATGGTTAAAGTTGTATGAACAATATCCTAAGATAACATAAGGAACCTGAAAAATTGTTAAAGTCTACATATTTCCAAAATGGTTAGATTCAGCTATGATGAATATATTAGGATAACATAAGGAATCTGAAAAATCAATGAAAAATCTAGCTCCTCCTTAAAAATAACGCAGTTGGTATCCACTTCCGTTATAACCGAAAGTGCCACCATCGTCAAAATATCTTCATTCAACACGATCAAATCGATGAGTATTCGAATTTGTTCACGGATTTTCAGATCAGTGTATTTTCTAGAACTCCAAATACGTCTGGGGTGCGAGTTGGAAAAAACAGCCTGTATATTTCAGTATCCCATGGCACTAACTATAACTTTGTTTTTCATCATGATTGAGAAAAGGAGTACAGGACGATAACAGACTACCAGTGCAATATCAAGCCTAGTGCATCTATTAAACCAATTGTAACCTTGGAAGAGACGAAAAAAATCATAGAAGAAATATATAGTTTCGATATTAAAAAAATAGTTGAGCTCAATGGTTATGACGATAAGAATTATCAAATTACTGTTGAAGATATGGTTGACGGAAATAAGGAAATGAATAAATATATTCTCAAGATAATCAATACCTTAGACTCCGAGGATATATCGATTTTTGAAGCTCAAACAGAACTTTTGAAATACTTGGGTGAGTTGAAAGTTTTCTGCTTCAGGCAATTTCAAATACATACTATTTCAGAGTACAAACCCATATGAAAACAATAAAGGAAAGAGTACCCACTTAGTTTATCTATATGCACTGCCAAAGTTTTGATGTCGCTTGTAGACCTTTTGAGGACGTCCTAATGATGTCCTCAGGATGTCGAGAGGCATCCGCAAGACGTCTCTAGAACGTCCACCTATTACTATTTTGTACATCTTGAGGACATCTCCAAAAATCCCAATAATATCTTCCAGAGGAGTCCTGAAGACGTCTCAGGAGCTTCCTGAGGATATACTAAATGATATACTCAGGATGTCAAGAGGCATCCGTGAGACGTCTCTAGGACATCCACCAGTCACAATTTTCCACATGCAAATGATGTCTCAGAATACTCCGATAATATCCTCCAGAGACGTCCTGGAGATATCTCAGGAGCATTCTGAGAAAGTTCTGTATGATGCATTCATGATATCAAGAGGTAGCCGCAAGACGTCTCTAGGACGTCCACTTATTGTTACCGTTTTCTACATGCATATGACGTCTGAAACATTTTCTCACGGATCACCATGCAGGGTCGACCTGAAGACGTTTCACGTTGATCAGAGATATATTGGGAGGAACTTGATACCCAAATGGAAGATATTTCTCCTGAGTCTGTTGAATTTGTATGATGAGATCAGAATGGAGAAAAAAGGACGTCCTCGTGAGGCTATTGGCGACATTTTGAGGATGTCCTCAGGCGATTGTGTGCTATCTGGGTACGAATTCGATGATTATGTTCATAGTCATTCGACATTTTGACACCCTCAGACTGACTTGGTCGCTGATTAGTTTGCCATCACAATCCCAACACAGCACCACTAGGGTAGGAACCTTGTAATCAATCAAGACTGATATTGTCCCACTGTATTTATTCATTAAACGAACTACAACTATTAGTTTCAATGCTAGGTTGCTCAATTTTCCATTTTCGATTATATAGTGCACTCTGTAAGAAATCTACCAAAAGTACCAAATCAAGTGCTCTGCTGAAACCATATTATGTAGTGGCTACTAATAATACTCGAAGTCATCTCTACGACATTTCAATAAGATGAAACATATCGAATTACATGTTCCGTACATATGAATGTCCATCTTCAGCAAATATCTCATTGATTTTCAACATGAAATAAATGCTTCTTAGATCAACAAGAGTGTGGGTTCCCTCAACGAACAGATTCATTTTGACAGCTTAACATCGTTCAATGCACTGAATTGTGCAAAATATTTTCAAATTGTCATTATTTTGTCTTTGCTTCATCTTCGACATAGCCATCCAATGATTAGTTTCATTCAACCATATTATTAATTTCTCGACTTCAAATAATTCGCTCTTCACTCTTGTTTGGCACTTTATGGGTTCTTCTGATGCAATCGTTGGTCATTGCCATTGTGTCTCAGGTCATTTGTCTCTTCTTGTTGATTTGTCACACGCGACACATGTCTTTGTTCTCTTCTTCCTGGTCAGGTGACTTCCGTCGAGTACGTAACAAGATGGACAGGTACTCGTTGTCTCCGTTCTCCCATCTGAAAGTTTCACTGTTGTGCATCTTGTGGTGGATTTTCCTTTCCTATCCCCCATAATATTGCCCAGTTGGGGATCGAGAGTTTTCCCCTTGAATCACAAAATGAAACCCATCTCTGTTAATTCCATCGAGATTAGGATGTAACTCAATTCTTTTTATTCCCACGTCACCAACATTTTTATTGATAAAAAATATTTTGTATAGTATTCACACTCTTCCAGGATAATATGTAGAAGTAATAAATCAGGCTGAAGATGGACATATTATATAGATCGAAAACAGATACGGCCTGTTCTAGAAGAGCCATTCGCCTGGTGGGTGACGCCACACTCACTCACTCTTTGACATCATTGGAACACCGTAGAAAGGTCGGCGACCTTTCACTTTTCTATCGATACTTTCACGGGAAATGTTCTTCGGAAATCTCTGCTATCATTCCTTCACTAGCAATACCAATCAGACGAACTAGACAAGCCCAGTCAGCACATCCTTTCGTTGTCAACCTCGAAAGATGTCGAACAGCACTTTATCAAGACTCCTCCATCCATATAACGGCTAGGCTCTGGAATTCATTGCCTGTGGAAGTATTCCCAACAACATATAATCTCTAAAAGTTCAAAAAAAAATCCAATACCTACCTCCTGCCCCTATCCTCCCTAGGAACGCACGAAGTTCTTTGAACATTATAGGGATTCCCTTTCGTGCGCTCCAAGCGATAAAAAAAAATTGTGGAGATGACCTCGAGTATTATTAGTAGTTACAAATTCACCACCACCTTGAGAAACCATGGACTCCTACCTAAGATTATATGTATTGGATTCAAGGAAATTAATTTTCATTTGCGCTGAAAATATTAGCTAACCTTGACGCTTTGTGTCTTGGTTGACTAACTAATCTCACGACAGGAATAAATGAATTTTCACCTTGGTGTGTGATATACTATTGTTGATAAAAAACTGATAATCTCAAAAGATTTGATAAACATATTGATCATATTCATAGCGACAATGAAGAAACATACCAAAGCTAGAATTGGAAACTCGTGAAGTTTGATATCTAAAATTGGAATTTGTGTCAGTGTTCCCTTGATATTGCCCTCTTACAATCACTATTTGAACAAAATTGATATACTGAATGAATCTTTCCATAATATTGATTTGTTCAATACATCATCGTTCCGAATGAATTTATCTAGAAAAAGAGTGCGTTTTCTTCATTCAGCAAACAGATGGTTAACAAATATGTTTTAATTTGTGAAGAACATCAATGTGTGGTATTATATAATGAAGATTACATCAGAATCCTCCGAAGTTTCAATTTAACGATTGTTGAGAATATTGAATCTGTTTCTTAGGAAGGAATGGAATCGTCAACTACCCAATGCCAGTTCCCACAAAAAATGGAAATTTCATGGAGAAAATCACATTATCTAGTGGACAACACATTATTAGGGTACTCGAGTATGTCGAAGGGACAATTTTGCAAAAAGTAACGTGTCCACCAGAGCTATTTTACGATGTCGGATACACCGTAGGCAAATTAGACTTGGACATGAAGGTAAATTGAAATAAAATGAGACAAGCTAATTAGTATATCTAGTTGAGTGCGAGAACAATCAAGTTGAATATCAAACTCGCAACTCTTTATCAGGGATAGGGCACATTTCGAAATATACACTCACTTACCATGAAAAAGGCCAACGGTCTCGATATGGAATTCAACCCATAATTCTCGAGAGGTGTGCAACAGAATTGACACCGATTCTCTGCAAGTTATTTATCATCTCGTACAAATCAAGTATCATTCCATTATGCTAAAAAGTATCTAGAGCCCAACCAATGCATGGAAAAGGGAAGAAAATCCTGCCCAACAACTTTGGGCCAATTGTCCTGTTATCAGTCATCTCCAAAGTGGTGTAGAAAGGTTATCAAATATCTGGAAATATCAGGAATCCTGAATTATAGACAATATGCCTTTCGCCAGTAGATCAACTAGAGATGCACTTGCCTACGTCACTCATAAATAGCAAGCTTCATTAGGAAGACATGGAGAATCTCTTACTGTGGCGTTGGATAAATCGAAGATATTCGACCGTGTTCATCACCAAGGACTCCTCCACAAACAACCATCATACGGCTTACTATACTTCAGCTATGATATCTTACATGTGGTGATAGATGAAGGATCATCTCATACCATTGCTATAAGTTTTGGCGTTCCACAAGGATCAATTTTGGCACCAACATTATTCCAACTTCATATCAATGATCTGTTGGTTGATCACTTGCACTATCCACAGCTTCGAAGACTATAGTACTCACCATACTGCTTCTGTTGTGGAATTTAACGGAGTCAACGCAATCAATGAAAATCTTGCTGAAAGTATAGACTGGGGAACCAAGAATCTAGTTGAATTCAACGCCACCTACACTCAAGCCTGTATTTCCTCTAGAAACCTGATATAACAATGTCTGTTATCACCATTCCCAACAAGACCACTATACCTATGCTCTGTATTTTTATCAGCAATACTCTTCCATGGAAAAATCATGCTCGATTCATTATGAATGCTGCTTCACAAAAACTTTTTTTTTATTTCATGCGTGTAATTTACTTAATACCTCAGCAGCTTCTCATGATCTACTGAGCATAGATACGGCCATTTTCAGAATACTGTTCTCACGTATGAGATTCAGCACCAAACATACGCTGATGCTCTTGGATCCCATTCAGAGAAGAGACATTCGCCTGAAGAGTAATGCCACACTCATCAATCCTTTGACTTCATCAGAACACCGTAGAAAGATCGGCGACTTCTCACTTTTTTATAGATTCTTCCACGGGTAATGTTCCTTAGAAATTCCTGCAATCATTTCATCACCAGCAATACCAAACTTGTGAACTCAGCAAGCCCAGTCAGCAATATCTGTCGTCTTTAGAACGGCAAAGCTTGAAAATTCTTTGCCAATCGAAGTTTTCTCAAGGAAATAACCTTCAAAAGTGAAAGAAAATTCAATACCTATCTTATCTTTCTATCCTCCCTAAGAACGCACGATGTTCTTATAAATGTAGAAATTCCCTTTCGTGCGCTCCGAGAAATAAAAAACAAAAACTCACTGTAGAAGGATATGATAATCTCAGTGATAGCTTTGAATCACAAAGCAGGTTGAGGTTAGAAAGTTAGGTTTGAGTTCTTCATTTCTTAATACTTTTGTGAAGTTTGTGCATAACGATTTCACAGAAATCACAAAATAGTTTTGGTTTGAATAAATTATTCATCATTATATGGAATATGAGGATATTATGAAAGTGTTTGTGTTTATGATGGATTATTGATCATTATATGATATTTGGATATTATGATTGCCACTAAAACATCACGCGAGATATACACGGTGAGTCATAACTATTTTGACATAGGCTAAGGGCCGCTTGTTTAGATGAAAATATGGCGATAGCACCAAATATGTTCAAATAAAATATTTCTGTGGAAAAAGATATAGAGCGTTGAAGTTCAATTTTTGTATTCGTATTCTGCTAATAATTTCAACTGTTCTCAAAATTGGCACATAATTCATTATTTTTATGCATGAGTGAAGGGAATATTATTGTTATAGAGGATGCCACCTGATTGATTCCTGGTAATGGCATCGACTGCTAACTTCTTTTACGAAACTTTTCAGTGATATTGATCAGAAATATGGCATAAATATCATTCCTATGTGATATTGGTACTTGTGTTAAACACTATACTTTCTTGCGTTTTCTAGAAACATATATTTGAACAGTTCAAAGTCTCAGAAGGTGATTTGAAGTAGTATTCCATTTATGAAGAGTGTGCTCCAGACTATCAGATAATTGTTGCTCGTGGATAACATGTCTTGTCAGTGAATGAATGTAGGTGCGACTTTATATATAGTCAATACTTTTTTAATTTTTTTGTCACAGCGATACTTTATCGAAGCATATTTGGTCCTATCGCGATATTTTGGTCCAAACAATCAACCCTTAGCCTATGTCTCAATAGTTATGACTCACCCTGAATAAGTAGATACTCATTCAATGAGTGATTATTAGAAACAAGGTGGAACCATTGACTTCAGTGAATGTTAATACTGTTGTCATTAGTCATATTGAATTTCATGAGGTTATTACTTGTTATTGATTTGGCAGCATCGAAATTCAAAATATGTGGTTATATTGTTATGCTATGATTGGGTGTATATCAACAAAATATCACTATTGGTGCGAATAGATGTATCACAACATTGACAGTTAGCTTTTCAGATGGTATCGATTTAAATTTTGGTGAAAAATCTATTTGTGATGATTTCGAATAACGAATCATCAATATAAAATACTGTGGCGTAAATTCGACTAGTGTGTACCAGCCCATTGAATAATATTCACTAAGAAATATGCAGTGTGTCTTGTAATCACATATAACGATGTCGACCACAGATTCTAGGAACGAAAATAACGAGGAAAATGTTTATTAACATGTGTTCAGAATTGGGCCCCTTGAAGGTAATAATAATTATCTGAATGGGAGCCTGAGATGATGATTTTTTGTGAATATTCTAAAAAGCCTCTGTGATGTGTACATAATTCTGTTAGCTCAGTTCGAAATTTTGAAAAAATTCTCAGAGGTGTGGAGAATAGGCTAGAGGCACTTCATACCTCAACTTTTTTGTTCCTGCAATTTCTGGCAGTTTGACCAGGAAATACGAAAATGTCATAATTTTTACCCAACTATGGTTGTCCTGTTCCGTTTCGAAAGCACTTATTTTTTTCGAGATGAATCGATTTCAAAAAGGAGCTGCAAAATCAAAATAGTATCTTTCTTCAAAAGGGTATAACCAGTATATTATTTTTCAATTATTTCTCTTCGTCGCAAGCCTCATTTTGTGAATCAAACATCGGAATTAGATGTTGAAACAACGGGGTTTTTTCATCAGAACAAAATTTTTGGGAGGACTGGGTATTCTATTGAAGAAAAGGCACAAATTTCATAACGCAGCAGTTCTTGGAATCGATTCATCTCGAAAATGGTGAATCAAAACTAAACAAAAGTACCATTTTCAACTAAAAATGTGGAGATTTTCATATTTCCTGATTCAACTGCAAAAAATTGCATAATCGAAAAAGTTGTGATAGAAAGTGCCACTACCCCCACCTATTTCCCTAGCCTCTGATCTCGAATAATTCTTAATTTCCCTTGGGACTCTCCTTCAGATGGCTATAACCCACTAGGAAGCCATTTCTAGACCCACGTTCATAGAAACCATCAGAATTTGTGGTTTAAATATTTCTACTTGATTTTTGCGGATTTTTGGGCATTCTGTATAGAAAGGTACGTTACAATCAATCAATCGATCAATACTGTGCTTTATTATCCAAGAATGACATTTCTTATTGTCAAAGCATGGTATAAAATCATTCTAGTGGATTTCCAGAAGGAAGTAATATAATAATATGTATACATATATAAAAACAAATGAAGTCAACATTGTAAAAACATTCGAAAAAATACAAATAGGTACATTCTGTGAATTTGAACAAACACCATTAAAAAAAGTAGTAAAATCATAATAATCTTGCTGAAATACCTATATATGAGTCGCAACCTAGAATCTCTCATTTCATATTCCTGTAGGTGATAATATGCTCTTGGTAAGAGAAAATCCGCAACCACTTTTTCTGAATTTCTTCAAATTCTTGATTGCTTTTAAAGGAAGATGATAAATTTTTTTGCTTTCGTAAATCACAGATTTTTTGGTGAGCGTTGTCTTTGGTATTGGTAGTTCGATATCATTTTCATTCCTAGTATATACATTTAGATCCAGAGAGATTCCTTCAATCAGAGACTGATTTTTATGAATCAAACAAACAGTTTCCAAGATGAATAGGCACGTGAGTTTCAGAATTTTAAAATGAATGAAAAGAGGTCTACAATGGTCAGTAGATCTAGCTTTGCAAAGGTATCTCACTGCTCTTTTCTGTAGAACAAATACCGTGGACAGTAAGTGTTAACTACAAAAGCCCCAGAAAGGTATACCATATCTAATATGAGATTTTACGAGGGAAAAATATGTATTTCTAGCAATATCAGAACCACACTCATTTGACACAATTCTAACAGCATAGCAACCTGACGCTAGCTTTTTTCTCAGTGACAAAATATGTTCATCAAATCTCAATTTGTTGTCAATGTGCAAACCCAAGAATTTAGTATTCGATTTGTTCTCAACGTGATGTGAACCAAGAGTGAGATTGTCAAATTTGAACTTGAGAGTTATGATATTTGTTTTGTTGGTGTTGAAACGTGTTGAAACAGAGATAGTTCGAATTGCACCAAGATTTGACCTCGTTTAAGTCGTGTGAGATGACTTCTTTGAGCGTAGCTATATTTTTTCCATGCCATATAAGAGTGGTGTCGTCTGCAAAAAGTGTGAAGTTTCCTGTAGTGTTCAAGTAAGCTAGATCATTAAGATACAATAAGAATAAAATTGGGCCAAGCACTGATCCCTGAGGAACCCCTGATTTGATAATTGAACGATGTGAGCATTCATTAGAAATTTTGACAATTTGTTTCCTGCCAAGTAAATATGATTCAAACCATTCCAATGAAACCCCTTTGAACCCATAATGATACAGCTCTTTTAGCAGTATTCTGTGATCCACACAGTCAAAGGCCTTTGAAAAATCGCAGAACACTCCTGCAGCTACCTCATTTTCGTTCAAAGACGAATAAACCCTTTCAAGAACTTGAAAAATGGCACCAGTTGTGCTTTTTGAATTTTGGAACCTTTTCCATTTTTCATTTCAGAATTTCCACCATGATGCTTACGATAAACGGAACTTTCTATGGATGTTACAGTCAGTTCCATATCTGTCCAAATTCGTCTTCGCAGTTTCAGATGAACGCAATAAGGAAGTAGTCATCAATGTCATTGAAGAATTTGAGAGAAGGGTTCTACCGATCTCGAACTCCTTGGAAAAAGGATTAATACATGGCGACGTGAACGAACAGAATATTATTGTGGATAAAGTTGCTGATAAATATTCGATCCAGGCGATCATAGACTTTGGAGACACTCACATTGGATGTTATCTATATGAAGTAGCTATTACCATGGCCTACATGATTCTCACATCTGAGAACATCGAGAGTGGTGGATACGTTTTGGCAGGTTATCACTCTGCCAAAAGGGTATCTGAAAACGAACTGTCACTATTGAAGGTAAATTTGAAAAATTGATGTTCTGTAACTCCAGAATATACTAAATATGATGTGATATATTTGGTGTTGGAAAGTGTTCAGCTATGAGAGGTAGCCAGTGAAAACGATAGCTCCACGACAGTATTCTTGGATGAGCGATCCAAAATAAGCTATACGCCCTCTTGCGAATATTCAACTAACTAATGGAAAGTACATTGAATGTTTGTTTACATTCAAGCTTCCATGCATATTATCAAGTGAGATTAGTAGTAGGATGTCATTGTGATATTTTCGAGTTAGAATTCTTCAGTAGAATATCTTGAATCATTATTGATTGGTTTCAAATCTTATTCATGGAAGTTATTTGCATTTTCCAGAAAATGATGATTTCTATCAGTGTATTTGAATGATACTCTATCTACTTCAAGATTAAATTCAGTTGCAATTTATTCCCAGACTGAAGTTACAGAAGGAATTTGAAAATATGAAATCCACACTTGAGAGCAGAGCACATAATTATATGTTAATTTTTTTCTGCCAGAGGTAGATCAATCATTCGCCATATACATCTCTGATCTTTGAGGACTTTTTCTCTTTCATATAAACACATTTAAGTAGATGCATCAACTCTACAATATATACATCTCGAATACCCACTCTGTGAACTTCAACATCATATTCAGTCAACTCATTTTGCAATATTTATTTCACTACTGAATATGGATACGGAATGCAATGTAACGTAATAATCGAACTTTTCTATCTCAAGCCATGATAAACTTCGATATTTTTTTTACATGGCATAACATAATAGGTTTGTTCTTGTTCCAAATTGTTGAAACGATCCATAGATTGCACAGAATTAGGTGTGCATCAAAATATATCCCAAGAAAATCTGAAATAAACTGGGCGTCAATTGGAACGTTAATGGTTAAATTTGGCATCAAGTTTGACTTCTCGTAATTTCTAAAATATTGAACGAATTTTGAATTGCCGCCCAGATTCTGAATGTCTTTTTCATCGTCCTCCGAACCGTTCCTTACAGATTCCTCTTAATTGATCAGGACCCATGATACAGGGTGAAACAAAGTTTCGTGCATTTTGAAAAAACATTCTCCGTCCCCCCATTTTGTCGGAAGACCACGATGCTCATATTTTATTCGAGCATTTCATGAATAGCAACCATACCTCGGGACTCTTTCGAGTTTTCGCCAAAAAATACTGTGGTTCCCAAAAAAAAAATACAATTGGGGAATAGCCTCCCATTCATGCAAAATTGCGCTTGCCAATTCATGAAAATTTTGAAATTGGTTCCCTTGCCTATTCAACCGTAGCTTTAACTCAATCCAAACGTACTCGATTGGATTCATGTCAGGTTATCGTGCAGGCCACTCCATTCGTTCTATATTTTCCGCTCGTAGAAATTCGACGATACATCTAGCCCGATGTGGACGTGCATTGTCATCAATCAACATGAACCCATCTCCATAATTCCTTGCAAAGGGAACAACAACATCTCTCAAACACCTATCTCGATATCTTTCCGCATTCATACTCTCGACAAATTAGAACTACCAATTCGGTTCTTCCATTCCTCATTATCCCACCCCAAACAGTCACACCACCTCCTCCAAATGCCACTCTCGCCTCCATAATGCTCTTTCCTAAACCTTTCACCCGTTTCTCTCCACACTAAAATACGTCCATCCGAATTATGCAAGTTGAAGCGCTACTCATCCACAAACAAACAACTATTCCACTTGGCTACTCCCCAATTACCATGAACTCTAGCCCAATTCCTTCTGGCGGCCCGATGTTGCGGCAACAGCTGTGGAAAGGCAGCTCGTCTACGGACTCGAAGGTTCCTTTCATTGAGACGCCGACGAATGGTTGAACAGGATATATTGATGTTCGTGATGTTCCTTAGTTGACTCGCATTCAAGGTTCTCCGAAGATTAACTGTCAGAAGGGCATGGTTATCATTCCGACGGCTTGTTGCTCTATTACGTCCACCACCATGACGGTATGTATCCTTAAAACGATGAATCAGTCTATTTATTGTCATGACTGACTTATTGAAAATGGTACTTAGATGAGTTTGGGTATATATCCTAATCGTCGTAACCTGAAATGATAATTATCTGTACTGAATTATAGTTCATATCTTGTAAGTGATCTTACCTAATGATATTTTTCATTTCGACCCGATTTAAACGAGGCATCTTTGAATTTTTTAGGAGCCGAATTACAATGACGTTTTCATGAGAATTGACAATTAATATAACCTCTATGCATACCTACATTGTTTCAACAATACATTGTTATAGAAACAAGGTATCGTTGTTTGTTTTTGTTGATGAGATGTGTTGATTTACTGCTCACTAAGGTAGAAAACTTTTATCATAGACTGCGAAGTAATAAATTATTGATTGTTTTCGGGTAACCTGGTATACATATCTGCTCCAACGCTTTAATGAAATGCATAAAAACATCAATTTATGGAACTCCTCTAAAATTAGTCCATTCAAAAAAAATGCAAAAACTTTTTTTTTTCGGAAACCACAGTAGTTTTTGGCGAAAACCCAAAAACGTCCCAAGGTATGGTTGCTATTTATGAAATGCCCGAATAAAATATGAGCATCGTGGTCTTCCGTCAAAATGGGGGGGGGGCGGAGAAATTCTTTTCAAAATGCACGAAACTTTGTTTCACCCTGTATCATGGATCCTGATCAATTCAGAAAAATCTGTAAAGAACGGTTCGAAAGACGATGAAAAAGGCATTCAGAATCTGGGCGGCAATTCGAAATTCGTTCAATATTTTAGAAATTTCGAGAAGTCAAACTTGATGCCAAATTTCACTATTAACGTTTCAATTGGCGCCCAGTTAAGTTTTGAAACCAGATAAACGAAAAGGCGTGTTCCAGTTTACTCATCTTCTTACTAGCAAAAAATATGCTGTGTCTCGACTCACATGGACCAGGAGCATATTCAGGTTAGGGTTATGTTGATGTTAACATGAAAGGATTATAAAATTCAGTACCTGAACATAAACCTCCTCCATTTAAATATTTTGAAAACCTTTATACACTTTCTTATTCCTACCAAAAATGATTTCTGAATTATTCATCTGAGTACACATTTATTGAAAACCACCATTCTCCATATTGGTCTTGAGGATTTCCAGCACATAAAATGTTTATGAACGTTTGTTAATCATCTGAACTTGAAGAGGATGATGAACTGGAGCTCATAACCCATTCTCCATTATCATGAATTGATTGAATTTTTCAATAATTTCATTCTTCAACTCGTTTGAAAGTTTATCTCTGAGAAAACTTAACGATTGAAATCTATAGCATTGGATTCAAACTTATTCCCTACAGTTATAAACAGTTTTTGCTCAGAGGCTCGTACTGCTTTGGACCGATTCGAAACTATTCCAAACGAATTCGTGTAAATCGGTAACACATGATCTGTGGAATTCGAAACAGTCCTGATGAAACGCGAACAGTTCTTTGTACTGTGCATGCTTCTGATGGTTTCGGACTGTTAATTTTGAGAACGCAAACAAACCCAATTCCGACACTTCAAACGTTACTGATTAGGTTGGTTCGCGTTTAAAAAATAAACAGTTCGAAACGATCAGACGATCAGATGGAGTTGGTTTGATTTGTGCTGTGAGTTTCATATCGTATACCCAACTGATATGATCATTTCATGCCAGGTTTGTGTAGCAGCTCGCTTATGCCAATCATTGGTGATGGGAGCGTACTCCATACTACAAGATCCCGAAAACACTTATGTTCTCACTACTGCTGCAAAGGGATGGACAATATTGAATGAACTATGGAGACAACCAGAATCAGAAATATTGGATGGATGGAAGAGTAAATTGAAGCAATAAATAAGGTCATGTTTCAAAAATGAACTGGTGTCGATAGTGACAGTGATTTCAATGACTTCGTTGAAATTCTGCCGTTCCGGAGGAGTCCGTTAGCACATAACCTCCTCCAAGTGAAATTATTGTGTCAAATATTCATTTCATGGTATATTACTCGGTGAAGCTTCAATACAATAGCTTCTACGAGTGAAATACACGTACATACAATTTATTATAATTGTAGTTCACTACTAGAAAAACTGTGCTAGCGAAACATGTCATGTTATTGCGGATTTTGTGGGAAACTCATCGTTTGTGAGTTTTCTTCGGTAAATCTTGTCGGCTCCCGAATGGTATATCGGTAGATTTAATACTGATAGTTGGATTCAGAATATGGCCTGAGTAGTTCATATCCAGGTTTATATTCAATCATAGCGTTGTGAAATCATAATGATTTTTTTTTATTCTCTATTATAGACTTCTGAATTGGACTTCTCTGACTTTGATTATGGAAATGAGTATCTATTTGTGTACCTTGAATTACGTATAGTTTCTTTCGTCACATCGAAAGTTCAATGGATCCTAGCGAGAAAACTGTGAGAGGAGCCATATTATAATCAACGAAATTTATGTCGACGCAGATTTTGATCGATCTTTTTGTTATATGTATGATTATCCATATGTGGCTATTGAGATTCAATGAAGTATATGCAAACATATTTTCAATATTTGACAACAATTAATCATGAAAAGGCTGAATCAAATTCAATAATATCAATAATAATAACGTAAAAGAATATTTGAATTTCCTTCTTGTCTGTTTCTGAAACCGATCAAGCGCTGAAGTATCTGAATGATATGAATATTTTCTTCCTACCAAATGGAGATGTCCAGCGGCAGTTACCAAAACTTGAATTCCTCTCCTCTTACTAAAACTAAGGTTTCGAGCAACGTCACCAAACTGGAAGAATCAAATGTGTCAATTTTTGATGACCTAAGTCTGGAGCATCAAATTATCAATGAATCACGATCAGATTTTCAAACTGCTGAGAGTAAAAGCTTAGAAACAACGATACGGCACAATCACCTTTTGATCAACAACGAGCAAGAAACTCTCGAGCAGTTGTCATCAGAACCAAGTTTTCTGGATGCTGCTGGCATCAGTGGAAAAGCAGCTGTGACATTCAGCAGGGAAAAAAAAGAAATTAGCTCATGCTGTTCGCATAAGTGAAGGAGCAGCAATGGCAAAAGAAGGAAAGAAATTAGTTCTCCTATATAACCTCTGTCCCAAAGGAGTCATTAATAGAAAATACCCCTACAACCGCTAAAGGCTCTTGTTCATCTTGCATTTGATATAGTTTTGTAATTACTGTCATCCAGAGATTGTACTCTTATTTTCGATAATATCATTTATATCATATCTTCTTTCATCACTGTATTCGTCGTTGTTAGGTCCAAATTGTAATTTTATGTAGAATAAATTTGTGTTCATAATGCGATTACTATATGTTTGTCATAATAATACCAGATCACTAACAGATAATTTCGAAGATTTCAAAGATAAAACCCATAACTAGTATTATGCCCAGGTAACACAGACCTCTCCGCGGTTAGTCAGAGAGGTCATCATTAGGATCATAGGCGAACTCTCATTGTCAGGTAGCAAATATCGCAAAATGTGCATCAGAAATTCTAACTGCGAGTTCCTTGAGCTAGCTTGAACTCTTCTCACGTTTTTGACAGTTCATTTTTCGTTAATTTTTGTGTTCATGATTATTTCATTACCATTTTCATAATAATTGCAATTATTATTATAACTTATCAACCTATGATATGTTTCCTATATATTTCCTTTCCTTAGTTGTTCCACAATTTTTTCCAAGGAGTTGCCTGTCTATTCAAACATATGCTCGAATGCCCGTTCTTATATATAAACTCTTAGTGTTAGCGTAAGAGAGATGTAAACGAAAAAAATACACGTTTCCTGAAGACGATTTCACGTATTTTCTTTTACCAACGGTTATCAAATACTCTCAAATGAACTTTCGGAATACTCTCAAAAGAACTTCTGGCTAACGTTTATTCCAAGAGTTCAATGAACATTCAGAATAAATGTTCATTGTGAGGACTTTGCGGAAGCGATGAGAAGTTCCTACGACCATCTATGAAACAGCAGTTATGATTATGTTGGATTTGAACGTTCAAATAAACAAGTATTTGTTGTTTCAACCTATCGTTTTGATAACGTGTGTCGTTTTATCGAGATAGGCGTGTTATTGCTTGAAAGAATCAACGTTCTGTTTCAACGTTTGATAGTGGTTGTAGATCAACACAAGGTGATGAATTTCTGTAAATGAAAGGTCTGAATGACGTGTTAATCTTTGGATATTTTCAACCAAATTTCAAAGTTGAGGTTTTCAAATTTCAACCTGTAACATTATCTCCACAATTTCAACCGTTATTCAATGTTTCATCAACCAGTTCGTATTTACTGGGATACTCATATTATTTGATAGTCATAGAAGTAGGTAAACAATTCGAATATCGAGTCTCTATTATCTTGCAATCGTAAATGTGTACGTTGTATATGAGTAGTAAGTATTTTTTATTTGTTACTTGACCTCAGCGATCTGGAGATATCATATTGGAATAGTTCCGTCACCATTAAAAACACCCTGTATTCAAGTCACTAGTCATTATCTTATTGAAATCAAGACCTTGAGTTCGGTATTCCGATTGAAATGATTAGCATTATCGTGCTCATGGAACAACGTATATTCAAACAAATCAATATGAATTTATCGATGATGAGAAGAAAAGGAGAAATAGATATTCCTTTCCGCATGAAAATCAAGACAGGTGAGTAAATACTACTTATTTAGACAAGTTCTCATTGCTTCATGATATAACTTCATATTTCAATTTCCCAGTAGATTTTTATGATATTTGTCGAAAACTTCGATTGTACGGAATATCTTCATCATGATCCTGATCCTGATCATGATCATATCTTCAGTTTTAAATTATTGTCATGATCGCCATTAGCTTCCTTCAGGCAACTTTGAGGTCCTTCCCAATCATCAGCAGATCACAAGCAGCTATAGTGAGGCCTGAAGCTAAAGCGATTCATGAAGTATAAAATCAATCAGATATTAGTATACTAAATAATTTCCATCCAGTATAATTAATTGGTTTTCAAATAAAGAATTTGATGTTTCCAAGTTTTATGTAAACCCATTTATAGAATTGAATACTCATATTAGAAATGAACTGAAACAAGTACAAGTACAAGTACAAGCATCTTTGTATTCATGGTCATGATACTAATCAAAAATGGAACTTTGAACTGTGTTCCCTTTCAGAAAAAACTACCCTTTCCTCACTCAGATGAACATCACCATGTTTTTGTCTGATGTAGTCGAAAAACAGACATACGAAAAACAAAATTGGCATATCGTGAGTATTCTCATGAGTCATCGATATTTAAAAACGAAATATTTTCCAGGTATATTCGTAAAAGAAGTAAATTTTCTTAGTTTGGACACTTCTGGGTGAAAATGCCAGAATACAAGGTTCATTATTTCCATTTCACTGGGAGAGCAGAACCAATCAGAATGCTTTTGAGATATGGAGGAATACCATTCACCGATAATCGTATACGATTTGAAGATTGGCCTAAAACCAAACAATGTGAGTATCAAAATAATTGTTCTCATTTGTAAGAGTTAAATTGAGGTGTATGCAAACTTCCATCAAGGTCAAACAGTGAAAAAAGAGTAGTGATGTATTGAATAATATGAATGAAAATTGTATTTTTCTCCATATCAAGGTGAACAGATACCCGTCCCTAGTGAATACGAGTACGTCCTATACAGGGTGTCCTTCCGGGGATTGAATATATGGAAAACTATAAGTATAGGGCGGTTGAGAATTCGGTGGCATAATACCATTAAGTGGAGCAAACGTTGCGAATCGATCCAATTGTGATTCCAATTATTATGATTCTATTTAGAATTGTTATCTGACAGTTTTTGGTATCGAGAATTATGATTCTCTCATCAAAATTTGGAAATTCAAGATGATTGATCCAATATGGTGTACAAGTTTTCGAAATTATGAACTATTTCTATCCAAAATTAGTATCTGAGGGTTCTCGGAGTCAGAGATTATGATGTTAGTCGAAACTGAGGAATTCAATATGGTGGATCCAATATGGCGTGAGAGGATCTGTAATCATGATCCGATTTCATTGAGAATTTGTATCTGGGGGTTTTAGGCGATGGAAATTATGATTTTTCCGTCAAAATCTAGAACAAAAGAAATATTGTGAAAAAAACTAAAAAACACGCTTCTATAGTCCGCCGAACTAGAAAATAAAAAATATATAGTAGTTTCCAACAACTAAAGAAACACTCTTTCATAGATAACATCCAAAATAAGAGGATTAGAAAATGGAATAATGAAAGAGTCTTGATAATCACACAACATCATAAATCGAATAGTTCCAAATTGTATTTTTTTCAAACAGTAATTCTGATACTTGTGAAAAAAATTAATATTATTTCATGTTTACTAAAATGAATCTCTCCGAAAAGAAGCAATTTTCTCAGTTGATAAGTATGAACCAATGGAAATTCCTCTCTCTCTCTTTTGCCTCAATCATCGCCTGGATTCGCCGCTGCAAAAGAGGTCTTATGGATGTTATGAGGAAGTTCATCTTTGCTGGGTATATCATAAGACATCTGTGGATCGTGTATTCCATGGCTGAGAAATGACCCATTCATGACCTGATATGGCTGTATTGAAAGTATCAAGAATTGATGACTTTGTTCAACAGTTTTTTTTTTTCAATCGCTTGGAGCGTACGAAAGGGAATCCCTATAATGTTCAGAGAACATCGTGCGTTCCTAGGGAGTATAGGGATAGGAGGTAGGTATTGAATTTTTTTTTGAGCTTCTGGAGATTATATGTTGTTGGAAATACTTCCTCAGGCAATGAATTCCAGAGCCTATATAACCGTTCTATGGATGAAGGCGTTTTGATAAAGTGCTGTTCGACATCTTTTGAGGTTGACAACAGAAGGATGTGCTGACTGGGCTTGTCTAGTTCGTCTGACTGGAATCGCTAGTGAAAGGATGATAGCAGAGATTTCCGAAGCACATTTCCCGTGGAAGTATCGAAAGAAAAGTGAAAGGTCACCGACCTTTCTACGGTGTTCCAATGATGTCAAAGAGTGAGTGAGTGTGGCGTCACCCACCAGGCGGATGGCTATTCTCTGGATGGAATCTAAGAGCATCAGCGTATGTTTTGGTGCTGAACCCCATATGTGGGAACAGTATTCTAGAACAGGCCGTTTGAAATATTTTCATTCATATATATGGCTCCAGTAAGACCATTCAATTCTTTCGCGATGATTTTCTAGGACTGTATTGCTGGCATATGCTCTCTGTGCGATAAAGATAATCCAATTCCTTTCTTTTATCAGTATTTAGTTAACATCTTCCACAATATCTGTGAATAATGGATACTATTCAATCACATACTTTGAATCCAGAAAACACTTCATGCATTTTTCAATGTCATCTTAGTCGTATTAATATACCAATTCGAGAAACAAATCAATTATTCAGGTACTTGTTGAAGTTTCGTTTTAATGCAGAATATATTTTGTAACAGGTGATATATTATTTTCACATGCGAACTGAAACAGGAATAGATCGAGTGTCGCTATGTACTTTTTCCTCCATTAGTGGTTATCACCTCACATATTGAACAAAAAATACACAAGTTTTTGTCATATTTGGCAGGCAATCCATAAATCATGCAGATATTATCGTGGTGGTGGAGCAAAAATAACTCGAGTCACGTCGAAATCCCCCTACACGCAATTCCATGCCTCGGGTGGGCTTGAATGGAAGCAAAATATGCAGTATTTGCAGCTGATGATAAATCTTACTCATTCGCTATAACTCGTATTGCAAAGCATCTAGACGTGAGGTTATTACAGAGATTTTTTACAATCATGATATCTGATCCAAGGAACATTGTTTCTGTTCTGTATTCAATTTCAGTATCATTCATCGATACGCTAGGAAGAAAATAGCGGAATTTTATGATGTTTGTTTTCTTTAAGTTGAATTATAAAGAAGGTAAAATCACACCATTGCTTGATATTCAATAATTCGCTTTCAATTATTTTTTCAATTTATTTTATGATGTGTTATGCCATTCAAAAGTTGTGTCATCTGCAAAAAGAGTGATCTTTGCCGTTATGTTCAGGTTTGCGATCTCGTTGATATAGAGAAGAAACAAAAAAGACCTCAGACCATATCTGGTGGCACTTCATATCGAATTTTCGCAACTCTTGAGTCTACCCTACCGCCGATGTCATAACGTTGGGGCATTTCCAACAATATTTCGATATTCTGGCAGACGAAAGCTTTGTTGTTTTAAGACATAATTGATTCCTTTCCACGACTGGAACCCGAATTGTTCTGCACGTTCTATTCCATTAAACATCAGGAAACAGTTTTGGATTCTATTCTTCACCAGCTCTTCTATCGCTTTGCCAAACTAGGTATGAGAGATATCGGCCTATGATTTGATTGGCCATTTTCATCACCCCCCTCATCGATAGAGATAACTACTGATTTTCTCAGGCAGGATAATACGAAAGCGCTGAAAGGACATGATACTTCTTTTATAATTGCCAGTCTGAACTGGAAATTTGCCATAATTGCCAGTTTGAACTGGCAATTAGCCATACAGGTTTCTTTTTCTTGTAGCCTGATCTGATTTCTTCTCAAGTAATGCTCATCAATTAGACAGAGCTGTCATTGCTTGAACTTTGACATTCCATGGCCCATGAGATTTTTTTGAAAAAATAACACAATGGAGTCATTGTGATATCAGACAGTATTTTACGGCAATGAAATTGATGACACACAAGTACCTCACTGATCAAACACAGTAAAACAAGAGCAATTTTGTGTTACACTCTATGAAAACTGTTGGTGTCTTTTTCGATTCCAGACTATTAGAATCAACACTCACTCTATTCAACACCAAAATTGTAATATCCTTTCATAAGTATTGAGAATTTGATATCGTGGGGTTCGACGGTGCAACACTTACATGCTTTTTTCATGTAAATAATGAGTCCCCTGGCAATAAACTGTTCATTTTTGGGGGTTGGCTCACTGAAAATATTTTATAGAACCACATGAACTACATCATATCTAAAATTGAGAAAAATTCACCTGAACCCGATTTACTAGCACTACGAAAGCACTGGATGGCAAATTTGGCTTATTGCCAGTTTGAACTGGCATTTAGCTATAATTGCCAGTTTGAACTGGCAATTAGCCCTAATTGCCAGTTCGAACTGACATTTAGTGCTTTCGTACGAAAGGATCCCGCAAATTTTTAAAGTAAATTGGGTCCTGGTGGATTTTCCTCAATTTTTAATATGATGTAGTTCATGTGGTTCTATGAAATATTTTCAGTGAGCCAATCCCCAAAGATGGACAGTTTTTTTGCCAGGGGGGTTTGAATTCACATTTTGATCGAATTGACCATTTATTTCCGAGAAAATGAAAGATATTCCAAAACTCTTCATTCCATTTGATTACTTCTAGAAATAGATCCTTCTTGAAGAAATATTATGGGGGGCATGATTACCCCAACCCCTATTTTGAAAACCGAAAAAAGAATCCAATCTAACTGTCAAAAGTGATGGGGAATGTTTCATCACGGATTCCTTATATGATGTATAGTCCATATGATTCTGATCAAAAAATCATCGGGTGACTATTCCAAAAAATTGACAGTTTTTCTGCTATAGGTAGTTTCAATTCACATTTCGAAAAAAATGGACTACCATTTGATTCTGCAGAAGAAGACAACTTTTTCCAATATCGTATTCCTATTTTCCTTGACGATTTCTCATTCGGAAATATTGGAGGGGTTCTGAACCCCCACCAACTTTCAAAAAAATCCGCGCTACTGTTGAAAGCATATGAAATTGTTTAATCACGAGAAGTTAAATGGAGAAAGCATAAACTCATTATTTATATAGAAAAAGCATGAGAAGTGTTGCACCGTCGAACCCCACGATATCAAATTCTTAATACTTATGATAGGATAGTACAATCTTGATGTTGAATAGAGTGAGTGTTAATTCTAAAAGTCCACTCGCCCTTTGCGTTGGTCGAAATAATCATTCGCGTTCGCATTAGTTTTTTGGCGTCACCAGACAGCGATAACATGACTAGATCTAGACTAGACTATTTTGATTGAAATGTGAATTTCCTCCCGCTTCCTCCCCCTCCCATTTGCTCGAGGCAATCATGCAAGAGAACTGTCCATTTTTGGGGGTTGGCTCACTGAAAATATTTTATAGAACCACATGAACTACATCATACCAAAAATTGAGAAAAATTCACCAGGACCAATTTACTTTGAAAATTTGCGGGGTCCTTTCGTACGAAAGCACAAAATGCCAGCTCAAACTGGTAATTATAGCTAAATGCCAGTTCAAATTGGCAATTATGGCTAATCGCCAGTTCAAACTGGCAATTATATCTCAATGCCAGTTCAAACTGGCAATTATAGCTAAATGCCAGTTCAAACTGGCAATTATAGCTTAATGCCAGTTCAAACTGGCAATCATGGCTAAATGCCAGTTCAAATTGGCAATTATGGCTTATTGCCAGTTCAAACTTGCAATTATGGTTAATAGCCACTTGTAATCTAAGAAGATATATCGATAAAGAGGTTGATACCTATTCGATGAGCCTGAGATACATCAAACACTTATTCAATAGCATCATCGGGGTCGCCTCCAGCTTCTTCTAAATCCTCGATTAGTGGAACATCTATGCACTCACTTCAATGCACCCACTTCAATTACAATATATGAAGCCTCTCAAATACCACAACTGAGCCTTCCAGCAAGAGAAAGGCCCAGAACAACCTTTCTTGTACTTCAGGATAGGCTTTTCAAAAGTAATTGAGTGGCTGGGGGCATGGATGTCGTGGTTGACATTATGAATACCAGGTCACCAATCACTAGAGGTCTTGTGTATCATCAACCACTTCTGAACTTGGTGTTGGCTCCAGGATGAATGAAACTTGACTGCAACTCCGGTAGGGAAAAGGCGAGGTCCCCGAAAATAGTGTTGAGAGCTTCTCGGTAATCTTCGCAATATAGACTTATTGAAAGAGCATTGCTTGCACTCTCGATCTCTTTCGGGAGGGAATCTGGCTGCTCAAACACTCCCAATTTTTCATCAAGGTCGGAGTTTCGTTTGAGACATCAATTCTTTCTAAATCCATAAACTACCATCATACAGCTCACCACCTCAGCTACACCATCTATCATCAACGTTTCATTCAGGCCAATCGCTTCATGTAGTGGTTAAAGAAGTATCGTATGATGCCATTACCATCAATTCCGGCGTTCCATAAGGATCGATTTTGGTAGGTACCAACATTGTTTATACCCCATATCAATGGTCTTTTGGAAGTGACCACTTGTCCTATTCTCAGCCTCGCGGATATCAGTACTCTCCTTACTGCGTTCTGTTCTAGAATTCTCATCTCTTTCCAGAAAAATAAGAACTCACGGCAAAGGCAGGGTAACGCTGTCAATGTGGATCTTACTAAAGTCATAACCTGGGAAACCGACAATCTAATTGAACTCAACGACACCTAAACTAGAGCATGTATCTTCTCTAGGAAGGAGGAACTCAATATGCCTGATATACTAATCACTATTAGTATCACAATTTTCATCAAGTTCATTATATATATGCTCGGTATATCTTCTTCAGCAATCATATTCCATAGAATAATCATGTCAGATCCATTGCGCAGGTTGTTTCAGAAAAACTTTTTTGTTTCGGATTTTGTCGTGCAAATGGCTACTTAACACATCAACAAAACACAGTAACACATATATGGCCTGTTATATAATACTCTCTCCACATTATATCGTGTTCAGTACCGAAACATACGCAGATGCCCTTAGATTCCAAGCAGAGAAGAGCCATTCGCCTGGTGGGTGATGCCACCCTCACTAACTCTTTGACATCACTAGACTACCGTAGAAATGCCAGCGACCTTCTACTTCTCTATAGATACTTCCACAGGCAATGTTCTTCAGACATATCTACTATCATTCCATCACTAGCAATACCAGCCAGGAAAACTTGACAGGCCCAGTCAGCAATTCCTCACGTTGTCAACATCAAAATATGTCGAGCAGTACTCAAGCAAAACTCGTTTCTCTATAGAACGGCAAAACTCTGGAATCCATTGCCTGAGGTAGTATTACGAAAAACTTGAAAAATCTTGAAATGTTTAGAAAAATTTCAATACCTACCCCTTATCCCTATCCTCCATGGTTACGCACGATGTTCTTCGAACATCATAGGGATTTCCTTTCAGGCACTTCAAGCAATGAAAGATCTGTTTTGCCTAATGAAAATTTCTGATCATTCAGAATTCGATATATCATTTTTCCAGCTATGCCATTGGAACAATTACCTGCTCTTGAAATTGAGGGAGATTTGATTCCACAGTCAGTTGCCATCTGCAGATACTTAGCAAAAATAGTACAACTAGATGGTCGTGATGAAAGAGAGAACCTGAAAATTGATATCTCAGTTGAAACACTGTCTGATCTTTTGAGAAGTAAGTAATCTACTCATCTCTAGCTATGCAGGTAATATTCAAGATTAGAATTCAATTGAGATGATTCTTTGATTTTATGATGTTCAACGAATTCAAAACTCACGACTCCTTGATTGACATACTTTAATTCCATCTTCATCCTCATTTTGTTCGTGAAATATCGTGCGTAGGTACTCAAAATAAAGTTACATATAACTCCTGACAAAGCATATCCAGACGCCGCCACTGGAGTCCATGCGTCGGATCACCTTCAATGATAAGCACCGGTAGAAGCTGACTAAGGATTTTCCTCGTTATTTATCCTATATTTTTTATCACTTCGAATTCCGTTCACCTTTTATCTTTCATACCAGAAATTATATTTGCAACTCTGAATTATTTTCGTGAAATATCAATTTATTAGATTTCACTGTTATTACCGCGAAATTATAAAAGGAACGATTTTCTTTCTACATCTAAGTCTTTTTCTGTAACACTAACCAGCTTATGCTGAATAAAACCACGATCAGAAATTATTCTTCATTCAGTATTAGAGTAACGTTACTGTCAATCGAAACTATAAACCTGCCTATTTAATAAAACCAATTTGACGAAAATGAAAGATACGAATATTACTCAACTAAAGTTTCTCAGCTTTCAGTTCATTTCGGAAAAGGAGTTTTCATAATAGTATTACTATTATGCCTATCATGATCATTTCAGATCATTTGAAATAAATTATGCTGGCTAATTTTTTTGATTTCAGAACTAGTTGATTATGCGCATGAAAAAACGATGAAGACGGAATCAGCAGAAAATTTTGTGAACGAGACATTACCATATTTTCTTAGTAGATTGGAACAACAAGCGATGAAAAATCGAGGCTATATCGCTCTTAATAGGGTGAGTATGTTCAGTCGCATTAAAAAAAAGCGTTTACAGAGAGAAATTAACGTCATACTATATATATTCTGCATAAAACGGGCTATCGAGAAAGATTGTTCACCAAAAGTTGACAGCGAAGCTGTCATAGGTTCTCGAAAACACAAAGCATTGGCTGAGCCAGTTTCACACAACTAGAACTAGGATCCCGAAATCCTCCTTTTTAATACTTGTACGCTTTTTTATTGAAAACGACTGTTCAACTGTACAGGGCTAGTTTCATTGATGTGAACCTCCCTCTATCTTTTTTGTTTTCTACCCATTCAAAAAATTTCAAAACTGATTCAATACGATTTTTCGCACAGATTTCATTCATTCTGACAATGATGCAGTATCTATTCAAATATACAGGGTGAACAGAAATGAATATATTTTTCAAATGAAACGCCCTGTATATTTCGATAAATTTTTCTAAATCGTCCTGATCTTCATATATATAGAAGAATCTCCATCTATCAAAATATACAGCGCATTCCATATAAAAAAAATCAATATATTTCTGTATATCCTGTATATTTGTAGAGATATTGCAACACTCTCTCAGTATGATTGAAACCAATATGGAATATCGTGAAAAAATCAGTTTTGAATCTTCTTGAATGGATAGAAAACAAAGGAGATGTAGGGAGGTTTACATTAACCCATTAGTGCATAATGTGTCTTATAATGGACGCTCCTTGTCTAATTTTTTGTGACTTCAATCATGCAGGAATTGAATGTTTCATGCGCCAGAACTATAAGTGTAGTTCAACAACAAACAGCTATCGCTTCTATTTCATGAATTTGTATCTCGACAATATTCTGCACGTGATCAAATGGATAACAATTTGTATTGCACCCGAAAAGGAGGGGAAGTATTTATTATAACGGAGTATGATGAATTTCAGAATTTCCTATCCCTCAAGATCGCATTATATGCATGTGTTTATGAACCTATAAGGTAATTCGAATAATTATTTTTTTTGTAAGACACTCAAAATATTGCTTTTGTGTTGTGTCCATTATAATGGACTCTATGCATATCGGTCATCAAGATTTTTTTGTAGATCATTCTTGCAACACCTCTTAGACATATGGAAAATGGCTGAGATATCGATCAACCAACAGATAATCATATATTATATTGCCTCCAGAAGAAAAGTTGGCAGAAATGCAGTTATTCGAATTTAGAAACTGCGAATCCATAATAAATCATATTTCTAAAGGAATTATCAAACAGCCGTGTGACTTTCGTTATTCTGATCCTGATTTTGATGAAATTGAGAATAATATACATCTTTGCATTATGAAAAGGAATATTATAGCATCAAATGATTGTACGTTTTACTGCAGCACGTCAACTATAGACACGACTCCATCCACTCGTTCGACTCCTCTTTTTCTTCAACGGGGTCACATTTCCTTCCATTAGATCGTGTGAGGAGCACCGAAAAAAGGTCTGGAAGTATCATCCCAAATAATTTCTTGATATGATACATTTCCATATTCCCATCAGCTGAATTCCATTCAGTAGAGTATACAAAATTGCAATTTTATATGTAAAAAAGGACTGCATCTGAGAGATGCTTCAAAATGTATCAAGTCATCATGATGTATAATTTTCATTATTATCATCATTATTATTATTATTGATAATATTGTGATTGATGTTATTGAGTTTTTCATGTTCTGGATATGTACTTGAATAAAAATGAATACTGATCACTTTCATCAATGAACCAATTTGCATAGAGTCCATTAAAATGGACGTGTCATATAAAAAAAATCTGTTGTAAAAAAAAATTATTCGTCATGAGTTATCATTCTTTGGGTATATTTGAATTAGTAAACATCTTCAGAACATAGAGATTTGAAAAAAAGTAGCTTCATGCACTAATGGGTTAATAAAACTAGCCCTGTACAAGTCTACAAGATGATGATGATCATTATTGTATTCCACCATTGTTTTCATATCATTCATATTTTCTAATGAGAAATTTTAGAACATGGAAAGCGAGGTAAAGCAGTATAATATATGGATAATTATGTCGAAATATTGAAATTCAGAGTGATGTTTTTCCGAAAAATAATAAGCCAAAGACAACTTGTTCATCGTGAAAACACTAGATGTCTCTCAATTCTGATTGTTCTATCGGCGTTCGTGTTCTCAACGATGTTACCACAGAAAGCAAACCAGAGTTTGTCAGTTTGATTAAAGCTGTAGATTAGCAACAACATCGCACCCATTTATGACAAGCTTCATTAGAAAAATAAGGGGAATCTCTAGCTGTCGCGTTGGACATATCGAAAGCATTCGACCGTGTTCGGCACGAAGGACTCCTCCACAAACTACCATCATACGGCTTACCACTTCATGTATGCCATCTCTTATCGAGTTTTCTTTCAGGCAGATAGCTTCACGTGGTGATGGACGGTGTATCGTCTGATACCATTGGCATCAATTCCGGCGTTCCACAAGGATCAATTTTGGCACCAACATTATTCCTTCTTCATATCAATGATCTGTTGGGAGTAACAACTTGCCCCATCCACAGCTTTGCAGATGATAGTACCCTCCATACTGCGTTCTCTTCCAGAATTCCCACTTTTCTTTCCAAAAAAACTAAGAACTCACGGCGCAGGCAGGTCAATGCTGTCAATGAAGACCTTGCTGATATCACAGCCTGGGGAACCAACAACCTAGTTGGATTCAACGCCACGAGAACTCAAATCTGTATTTTCTCTAGAATTGCGGAACTCCGCATGCCCGATATTGTAATGTCTTGCACCACCATCCCCACCAAGCCCACCATACCTATGCTCGGTATTTCCATCAGCAACCCTCTTTCATGGAATAATCATGTCAGATCAATCGCAAGAGCTGCTTCACAAAAACTCGGATTCTTGTTCCATATGCGAAAAGCTACTTCACACCTCAACAGCTTCTCATAATCTACAAAGTGCATATACGGCCTGTTCTAGAATACTGTTCCGAAATAAAGGGTTCAGCACCAAAACATACGCTGATGCTCTCAGATTACATCCAGAGACTAGCCATTCGGGTGGGTGACGCCACACTCACTCACTCTTTGACATCATTGGAACACCGTAGAAATGTCGGTGACCTTTCACTTTTCTATCGATACTTCCATGGGAAATTTTATTCGGAAATCTCTGCTATCATCCCTTCACTAGCAATACCAGTCAGACGAACTAGACAAGCCCGGTCAGCACAACCTTTCGTTGCCAACCTCGAAAGATGTCGAACAGCACTTTATCAAAACTCCTCCATCCATAGAATGACTAGGCTCTGGAATTCATTGCCTGAGGAAGTATTCTCAACAACATATAATCTCCAGAAGTTCAAGAAAAAATCCAATACCTACCTCCTGTCCCTATCCTCCCTAGGAACGCACGATGTTCCTTGAACATTATAGGGATTTCCTTTCGTGCGCTCCAAGCGAAAAAAAAAAATATGTCACAATGAGTCGCTTTGGTATAATGGCTAGTTTATGTTTAAAATAAATGATTCTTTCATGCTTCGTAAGAAAGTCTATTAATATACCACTATTCTGAATATTTTCTTAATTTTCTGTCTCTTAAATTGTTAACTGAATAGGCGAAGATAAGAGTTTTTTTTATTTCTTGAATGAATTCATCACTCAAATACTTTTCAATTTCATAATCTTTGAGAATTTTTTGGTCGAAAATCATGAGAAATGCCACGGTAATTTTCAAGCGGCTATAGAAATTCACCGCGAGTGAAATCTGATGCTACGATATTGTGAGTAGTGGCAGACTAGAGCACAGTTTTCATGAGTTGAAAGACGGTTGGGAACTCCAGAAATATTAGTTATTCAATGGTTCATAAATCGTCAATTGGGTACTCATAATATTCCTAATAAATATTCCTAATAAATAGCAATAATGATTCAATTGACTCAAAATGTTCCCATATGATTTGTTGCTTATTACTCATAATAAATCTGTGTAGATAATAATTATATTACCGCATACTAAAAGCCATTTGGATCGGTGAACATGACAACCACGCGCACGATTTGTGGGCGTGGTCTTGTCAGTTCACAGGATTCAGGACAATGTTTTCAAGTCTCCAACATACACATGATATTTTGTTATGAAGAATAAAAAATATTTGGACATGCTGGTTGCTGGAAATAGTCAACAACGAAATATAATGTCATGACTTCCTCCTATTATGTGTTATTCAACAACAAGACACGAACATCTTTTTGATAACTTGATTATAATTGGTGACTTGACAACCTTGCTTCTAGAGTGGAAATGGAAGATTATCTGACCAATAACGAAACAGCTTAAAAACTGAAATTTTTCATAAACATGTGTTGCGTCGTGGAAGTGATTCCACTTCAAACTGTAGGTTCTATTCTTCTTAACCCTGCCCAATTTTCGACTACTGGGGATGTGGTACCTAACTCCTAAGTAGCGATATATAATATTCAAAATACAATTTCCCTTTCCTTATGTATGCTGCTTATACCACTCTGTTCTGAGTATCTCCTCATAATTCTGTCTCCCATTGGTAACTCAATTGTGTTGCCTCACAGCAATAGCTCGGCAACACAATTTCGAATAAAGCGACAGAATCATCTCGAATATTCAGAGCTTCCTTATATTTCTGATGATAATATGAGAATCATGCAATATTTCTGAGTATTTCTTCCTCACTTGTGGATGATAATCATTAAAGTTTTTACACCCTTTCGTGGAATAAAATTCAACTTCCGAAGGAAGCTCTTGAGGTAATAACTATTGTACTGTTCGATAATGATATAGTTATCATTGTTTTGTCTCATCCTCCTACTATGGACGTAGTATCCATTGTTGGATCGTCATCGATCAATTCCAGAATGACTTCCTTAATATCAGCAAATTCGAGTGGCAAAGGGTAGTTCCAGGGCCTACTCTAACCATATCATATGATATAAAAGCTTTCAATA